AAATGCGTCCAAGTACATTTGATACATCTAACTAGAGAGTGTCAATGACAATAATCATCAAAGAATCGATATGTTAACAAATCCAAACTCGGAGCCAATTATACCAGTATATGTGGTTGTTGTGATGTTTTAAAATTTGTTCTCATTTGTTCTCTTCTGGAACTTTTGATTTTTTTTTGTCGAAAGTTTTCGTGAAAAGGTTTCCTTTGTTTTTGACCCCTTTTCATCACTTTAGATTTTGATTTGGTTAACATGTTTTGAAATGGAACCAGATCACATTATAGTCATGACATAAGATATTAAAACGCTGTGTCCTGTGTCGTTATACACACTGACCTGACGAAAACAAACTAAAAATAGTAGTATATGCCATCATATTTCTCCAATGTCTATGTGAACCACACTTGGCCTCCTGCTGTAGATACTTTTTTGTGTATCCTGGCGAATAAGCACATGTCTTTTCACTTTTGGTATCCGATTATGATGTACACGTGGTGCTGTTTGAATTTGAGACACCTGAGTGTTCGAATGGATAGCATCAGACAAGGATGTTTTCAGTTCTGTATGTTGGGTATTGGGCGACACTTGTACCTGGTTTTGAGCTGAGAGAGTTGTAGACTCTCGAGCAGGATGATCAGTTTCATTTACAAATGCATCTTGAGATGGTACCATCGGATTTGTGTTGTTTCTGTGTAAGTCAGTTTTATCATTAGAATCTATAGACCGTTTTATCTCTATTTTATCAACGTCATTATTTAGTAAGTTTACTTTCTTTGTAGAGTTAGAATTGTCTACAAGTGTTTCGCTTGTTGAGACAGATTCTGATTGAGAATGCATAGATGGACTTGAGTCCCTCCAGTCACTAAAGTCTTGACGAAACATGTCTTTTTCTGAACTGGAAAAACTGATTTTATCTGAGCCCGCTGACCCCGGAGTTCGATTTTCTATGCTGTTAGATCTGTACCCTTCATCAAACGTCTTTTCTGATTCGTTGGTTGGGTCTGATATTGACATCAAACTGGACGTCATAGCCTTTCCGTAAAGTCCATTGGCCTGAGGAGGCTTCGCGTTTGTCATCATTCCTGGTAAGTCCTTCTCCGTTATTATGGCCATGGGTACAGACCCGTGGCTGCTGCTGGAAAGGTCGGAATCGTGACGTCTGGGGTTGTCATGATTATTCATAGTAGTCCCAGTAGGCAATGGCGCTTGACTTGTCTCCTCTTTTTTACGTCGAATACTTGAATGCGACCTGCTGAGCTCTTTTATCGCAGTTTTACTCTTGATGAGGTTCCTACAAATATATTGACAGTAAAGAGTTTATATTTATCATTTCGAGGGTATTTTATCTTAACTACTAAAAAACACAATGAAAATATCAGCATGTCAACATAATCAGAAACCGAACACATATTAAATAAAACTTGTGTAAAATATGATCGAAAGAAAATAAAACATGGAAACTCCTGAAAAAGTGCAAGTAGCAAAAGACCAGGTGTTCCGAAACAGTAAGCGTCTTCTTCAAGGACAATACCTGCCATGTAACTCGTGGTCAATTCAAAAGACAGTCCTATCATATCTTTTCACACCTTTGCTATTGGCATTTGAGGTCAGTCCTAGATATTTTACACTAGTTACATAATTTGTTGATAACATAACTTTAGCCATGTTTAAACAAAACGTCAGTTCATTTCTCTTTATAGCAGTGAGACTTGGCATTACTGATTTGTCACGTGATCTGATGTAGCAAACCTCAATGACGACTACGATACCAGTAAACATTGACTATACTCATTTCATCACATGGAAATAAATAAACAGTTGTTATGTCAATCGTCAACATGTATACAAGTGTTCACAAGAAGTCGTTGGAGACACACTACATTATTTTATCCTGTTTGGATTTAGACAATGTATTTTCATTATTTCCATCAAAATAATCATTACAATTGTTGTATAGATATCTTCTTCAAACGTAGTTTGTGATTAAAAAAATAAGAAATGATAAGATTTTTTTTATCAATTTCATGCATTGAAGATCATAAAATTGTAAATGGCGTGTAAGGGGTTACCATCAATTGTAATTTTCACACATTTTCATGATCTCGTAAGTTTGGATATTAATTGCGGAAATATATCTACATGGCATATCATATCGCCTTAAATTATATAAATAATATATAATGTATCAACTAAACATAAATGGGTACAGAGTTTACCGTCGGGATAACTCTTAAAATTGTTTCGGAAATAGGTCACAAAACCTCCTTCGTATTTCCTTCGCTTTTTGCAGTAAGTTTTCAACGGTTACAAATACACTCTCTAAAGCTTAAAAAAGAAACCTAAAGACAGATAAACCATGTACAACAACCTCTCACTGTGAAGCCTCTATTCCTGTTTATATCTTTTGACATGATCACACAATAGACACAAATTAGAGAAGAACATCTTTCTACAAACATTAAAAATTAGACACAGTAGAGTAAAATATTGACCCAAAATGCATCATACAAACTGTTCCGTCATTCTGAACTCGTCAGTGATGGTGGTGGTTATTAATATAACATTAGTTATAGGAATACAAAAACACAGATGTGTTTCCTTACCTCTTTTTACAGTAGCGTATAAGGAAACCAACTCCAAGCAATAGGAGCACCGTCACACAAACGCCGCCCACAATAGCTCCAACCAATGGAGTCGAACTCACCGTCACAGCTATAAAAGAACAAACTCACCCTTATATGTCCATATAAGTATATATATATATATTTTTTACTTTTCTCGTAAGGGAATATTGCAATATTATTGAATACTATTCCATGAAAATAAAACGACAAATAGCGTTTTGAAAAACAGTATATTTGTTTGTTGGTATATTTCGACTTGTAAATAATTGTAGGCTTTTTCTGTGAAGCAGTCATGATACCCTACTAAAGTATTTTATGTCAGTGAACTAAACGATGCTATTTTGTCAGATTTCAAAACAGACGTACACTTATCATAAACAATAAATAAGACTTGTTGTTTACCTTCAGTGTTTATAGTTGTTGACTCCGTGGCTGCTGACGTTACCAATGTCGAACACACGTCGGTGTTTGGACTCTTCGTGCTGTCTGTGATATTAAACAAAATAAATACTGTTAATACAACGGAAATGAAGATAGGAAACCGAAAATTAAGGATATATGAAGGTCTTGTTTAAAAGAAAGTAGGACTTCATTAAATAGGAATTAAATTTCAACGTTATATCATAGAATATTGAGTTTAGATATACTTTTGATATCAATGGTTTACTTTTCTCACAGACTACACTCTGTGACGGCGTAGAATGACGTCGTCATTCAGATTTTACCGTCAACAATTTCAATTTTTTCCGTGGCTTGAGTTGACTTCGTTAATCATTTTTCTTGAATCATATGGCTCAAAAATAAATACTTCTGTCTGTTTATTTATTTTTGAAAAAGTGACATTTCAGTGAAAAAAAACCCCAGTTACCTACTTTTTTATGTTATCAAACCAATTCTCAATAATTTTTCTATAAAAATATGAAACAATTAAAATTTCGGAACATTGTCACATACAGCAATTATAAAAACAAAAAATAAAACACAAACACAAAAAACGGTATAAAATTGCAGCAATATGTTGTTTTCTGCTTTTACGTTACTTTCCGTTATCTAAACGTTAAAAAATATTACTTTTCCTTATCTAAACTTTCAAAACCTCATCAACAGAACAAAAACCCAATTTTAGAAATTTTGGGCGCCTGAGTTTCATACATCCAGATAACAACATTGACTACACTACGACGTACATGAATAGCATTCTTTTTAATGCTTAAATCTTTAAAAAGTATTGAGAAGAATCGGAATAAACACACTTCTGGAAATACTGGTTATCAAACGAAAAAATGTTATTCATATAGATATCTTGACATATCGGAGAGTGGATCTTCATTAGAATAGACTGTTGGCACAGCCTTTCATGATTTATTTGTTCGTCAAACACAATATCAATATCTGTGTAGTGTCAAATTGGTGAAGCTGATGATCTACAAATGACATTTGTACAATAGACACACAAGTCAGTTTGTTAGATAAAAATGAAGTTTTGAATCAAACTGCATCATGCATCTGTATCGCTCTCTTTATCTCACCGGAGATGGTAGGTGACTAAAATACCACAATTAGAGAAGATGACTTACCCAGTTTGGGGGCGAAGGTAGGAAGTAAGTAACAGACTTCGCTGAAGTTTGCAACATAATGTAAGTAATATGAGTTAGGTGACGACGCTACCGCGGCCAGTTCATCGTTATCGCTCGTCAGCGCGTCTCCAACAGCAACTACGAAAATACTAGCCCCGGCTGACCTTAGCGTCTGAGCGTTGAAAGCTGTCTGGGCAGTACTAGTCGATTCGCTGTACGTCACCAGGACGACCACATCAGGCGCCTCAGCTCGTCCATTGTCGAAGGCGTTGGAGGCAATGTAGCTAAATGCTTCGAAGGTTTGTGGGTCTCCACTTGGACTCAAATCCATCAGTGCGCTCGTTGCGCTTAGTAGTGTAGTGCTTGTTGTGTGAACATCAAGCGTAAAATGTTCTTCGACGCTGTCTGAGAAGGTGATGATGGAAACTAGTGTGTCATTATTGCCAATCGTCAGAACGGACACAACCTTATACACGAAGTCGGTGATATAGTTCAGGGCCGAATCATCGGCTCCTGATGACACGTCAATGACGAAGATGATATCTGTATATAAGAAAAGACAAATATTTCTCAAGAAGATTATATAAATCTACACTTAACCATTATAGAGAAACGACATTTATGTATTTTTACTTTCTAGTAGCAGCCAAGGTCATATGATGATGGAAGTCAAGAGGGACAACAAGAGGGACAACAAGAGGGACAACAAGATTGTACAACAAGATTGGACAACAAGAGGGACAACAAGAATGGACAACAAGATTGGACAACAAGAGTAACAACAAGAGGGACAACAAGAATGGACAACAAGAGGGACAACAAGAGGGACAACAAGAGTGGACAACAAGAGGGACAACAAGCGTGGACAACAAAAGGGACAACAAGAGTGGACAACAAGAGGGACAACAAGAGTGGACAACAAGAGGGACAACAAGAGTGGACAACAAGAGGGACAACAAGAGGGACAACAAGAGGGACAACAAGAGTGGACAACAAGAGGGACAACAAGAGTGGAAAACAAGAGGGACAACAAGAGGGACAACAAGAGGGACAACAAGAGTGGACAACAAGAGGGACAACAAGAATGGACAACAAGAGGGACAACAAGAGTGGAAAACAAGAGGGACAACAAGCGTGGACAAAAAGAGGGACAACAAGAGTGGACAACAAGAGGGACAACCAGCGTGGCCGACAAGAGAGGACAACAAGAGGGACAACAAGAGTGGACAACAAGAGGGACAACAAGAGGGACAACAAGAGTGGACAACAAGAGGGACAACAAGAGTGGACAACAAGAATAGACAACAAGAGGGACAACAAGATTGGACAACAAGAGGGACAACAAGATTGGACAACAAGAGGGACAACAAGAATGGACAACAAGAGGGACAACAAGAGTGGAAAACAAGAGGGACAACAAGAGTGGACAAAAAGAGGGACAACAAGAGTGGACAACAAGAGGGACAACCATCGTGGCCGACAAGAGGGACAACAAGAGGGACAACAAGAGTGGACAACAAGAGGGACAACAAGAGGGACAACAAGAGTGGACAACAAGAGGGACAACAAGAGGGATAACGAGAGTGGACAAAAAGAAGGACAACAAGAAGAACAACAAGAGGGACAACAAGAGTGGATAACAAGAGGGACAACAAGAATGGACAACAAGAGGGACAACAAGAGGGACAACAAGAGTGGACAACAAGAGGGACAACAAGAGGAACAACAAGAATAGACAACAAGAATGGACAATAAGAGGAACAACAAGAGTGGACAACAAGATTGGACAACAAGAGGGACAACAAGAGGGACAACAAGAGTGGACAACAAGAGGGACAACAAGAGGGACAACAAGATGGATAACGAGAGTGGACAAAAAGAGGGACAACAAGAAGAACAACAAGAGGGACAACAAGAGTGGATAACAAGAGGGACAACAAGAATGGACAACAAGAGGGACAACAAGAGGGACAACAAGAGTGGACAACAAGAGGGACAACAAGAGGAACAACAAGAATGGACAACAAGAATGGACAACAAGAGGAACAACAAAAGTGGACAACAAGATTGGACAACAAGAGGGACAACAAGAGTGACAACAAGAGGGAAAAGAGTGGACAAAAAGAGGGATAACAAGAGTGGACAACAAGAGAGACAACAAGAGTGGACAACAAGAGGGACAACCAGAGTGGCCGACAAGAGGGACAACAAGAGGGACAACAAGAGTGGACAACAAGAGTGGACAACAAGAGTGGACAAAAAGAGGGACAACAAGAGTGGACAACAAGAGGGACAACAAGAGGGACAACAAGGGGGACAACAAGAGTGGACAACAAGAGTGGACAAAAAGAGGGTCAAAAAGGGGGACAACAAGAGTGGACAACAAAATCGAACAACAATGCGCGGGAAAAACACAGCAAACACTAAAAGAAATGAAAATATTAAGATCCCATGTGTTGCAATTTGAAAGCAGATCTATATCTCTTTAACATCTTTGAAAGAAATACAGAAGAGGAGTTTCAATTCTGACAATAGGCCCACTTTAATCGCCTCGTACGATCATGCAAAGGAATACATTAGACAGGTTCTCCGATTCCTCCTTAACAACAGGACAACGGAGAAACCCCCTATGACCTATAAAGGGTGTCCCATATTTAGCCGCCTCTTATGACACGCAGTAAATATAGCTGTGATTTTCTAACTCTTCGTTTTCTTTCTTTTCTCCAGCATGCGTTCCATATTAAGGTACCGTAGGTATTGTGAATTAATACTATTATTTTTCACTGGAAGCATTGCTACATACATAGACGACCTTAGAACTATACAATAGCTTCAAAGATTTTCAAACAAAACTCGTGTGATCGTCTAATGAAATGTAAAAATGTTCATTCGCTCTATTTATGGGTGAAAGATTATCATGAATGTGTTCATGCGCGGTTATAGTGGAGTAAGTAATAGATTGTGTATTTCGTGTTACTGTGAGTAGTATATCAAAATATAACATTATAATGAATCAAAATAGCATTAATAGAATTACCAGCTCAAATATGTATAACGATAACAAAGGGTATTTTTTGTGATATTTCAGCTTCTGTTATATCGATAACAACATAGGATGTTGTCATCAATGTTCTTTAAATAATGCAAGGAACTTGCTGAAAGTTACCTACATAAGCACTTTAAATATCATGTTTACTTACATATATATCTTGTATCGAATACCATATCATGAAATATTAACACTCCCGCGAACTTGGAGCGGTATTGAGTTGTCGTTCTTGACTACAACGCTAAGCGTGATAGGTGCCCGCTCAAGCCGAATTCGTCGCCCGGACGGAGACACAGTTTCATGTTATTCGTAAGTTCTTTCTCGTTTATTGTGAAGTAAGTGTACTGTTTTTATATCAAGAAATTATTCAAAACCCATATGCGCTCATATTTTAGCATGCGAAGCTCTGGATTTGTCGTGACAAATACCGGGGTAAGAAATTCCCTTTGTTGGAATTTCCCGACTCTAAATTAGATCAAAATGACAACATTTGCTTTATTCAAGCGATTTCATTGGTTGGTATAATAAGATGATGGATAATCGTCCTACGTCATTTTGAAAGTAATATGCGATTGGCTGAGAAAAAGAAAAGTTATAAACGCGAAACCAGGCGAACCCCTGCAAGGCGTACTCTCGGTATACAGTCACGGACTGACTTCACAATAACCTTTTTTGACGGTGAAATTTCGTTTGCTTTTAAATTAGAAATTAATTGTACATTTTCATGAATACTTCAACTATAATTCGCCGAAAGTAATAGAGTTAATTTTTCATCGATAGCGAACAACGGACGGAAAACTCAACAAACTCGGGCTTTCATGCACAAGAAACTGTTCACTCGCCAAGAACAGTAACTCTGTATAAATCTCAAAGGACAAGTATTTCCCGCTATGGAGTATTCCGATACAAAACGTGTGGAGATTTATATCGCTTTGTATCACAGAGTGGTATCCATATAATTTGTAAAAATAGCTAAATTGAGAAATACGAGAAAACGTTAAAGCAAAACCCTTGTTTGTCAAGAATGATACCTTTGAAAGATGCGGGTCCAGTCGACGTAGGAGTAGTTGAAGTGGTTGGCTGGGTAGTGGTCGTAGTGGCAGTAGTGGTAGTGGTAGTAGTGGTGGAAGTAGTAGTTGTCGTCACCTGGCAACCATCTGCTGACGTCACACTGCTTGTACTATCTGTAATATAACTTAAATATCTATATATTTCTCATCAATCATGGAATAATCTTACTGAATAATAAAAACTCATCTTGGAAACACATATATCCTTGCACTACTTGTAAACGTTCTTTTAACAAGTAGATTTTAAATAAAATACTCTTGTACCAATCTATTAATGTAAAATTAATTTTTGTAGTCAGGAAAATTTACTTAAGATGGGTAACTTATTCTGTTTCATTTTCCGCGTATGTTGACCTACATAAAGAAGGGCAATGGAGTTCATTTACTAGTATGCTTATATAATGAAAAATATTGAAAAAGTTTCAACTTCTTAAATAGGTTCCTGTCATCAACACGTGACTTGTAACCTTGACATAACATGAAAACTATTGTCTCTTTTTAAGTACAATGGACGATGGTAACGCACGTCGGGTTTACAGCGCTTAGTCGGTAAATTAGTTCGAAAGGTAATAAAGTTGATGTCGGAAAAATATCATTTTTTAATTTTTTTTTAATTAGATGTTTCGAGTGCGAAAGTCCAAAAATATAAGCTGGGGATTAATATCTCCTTCTACATTACACAGGTGTGATGGGCTATTTTTCGGTCAGCAGTGTTGTAATCGTTTAAGCCGTCTCACAAATATCTTAAGAAAAAGAAAAAAAAACATGGCAGTTACACCACTTACCGATTTTGGGAACTAGTATAGGAACAACATCACACAACACGCTGAAAGTGTCCACTACATGGTTATTGTCGGTATCCGGGTCAGTTGACACGAACATCAACTCCGACTGCGAAACAGATGACCCGATTCCTACTGTGTAAGCATGAACTTCGTTAAGGCCCAACTGAGTTCCGACAGCAGCTGTGAGATATATAGGTGTGGATTGGCTATATGCAACGAGGACTAACGTGTCATCTGCAAGGGTACGGGCACCCTTGCTTGCTTGGAATGAGCTGTCTTTTACGAAATTAAGACCAGACACCATGCCATTGGATCCAGACGGTGCTATGGATTTTAAATTAGTTATAGCTGTCAACAGTCCAGCACTGTCCGTGTAGTCATCAAAATCAAAGGCTTCCGAGACAGTTGACGAAAATGTCACCACAGAGACAAGCATATCGTTGGGTCCAATGGTTAGAAACGAGACAACATTATGTATAAAGTCTATCACAATGTTAATGTCATCGGCTGTGGCTCCGTCAGTTACATCCACCAAAAACACAATATCTGAAATTAAATTGTACACATCAGTACCATACTGCCACGAGCGTAAGTCATAGAAGCGACATGTTAATATATATCAGTTTACACAAATCGCCTAACACATAGCGACCGTTAATAGGGTTAAATAAATCCATTAGAATCAGAATCTTAAGAACGGTGATTGTTGTCTTCATTCAAATTAGTATGAGTTGTTAATTTGAAAAAAACAAAACAACAATATAAAAAATTAACTAAATGAAAATAACAAAAAAATAACAAACTTTTAAAGATTCACACACAAAACCTGTCTACATATTTTTGTAAAAATGATTATGTATGCAAACATCTAGAATCAATAAAACCATTTACAACAACAGCTTACCTTTTTGATTCGATATAACGGGTTTCACTGCAGCCAGCAGGGCAACTAAGAGTAAATATCTCCAAATATTTCTCGAATGCATGCTTTATAATTTAAGATGCACATCTTGATTCCCCGAAAACAAAAAATATAGTCGATGACAGATACAGAAAGGAAGACTGTTTCGCCTTCGACATTGGGGCCGACCTGGTCTGCTGAGGTGTTCTGAACAATCTACCCGACCCACTATTACACGGTAGCTTTTGTCATTCCTTCAAATAATTAGCTAGTTTTGTTGTCAGTGAGCCTATCCCGTATCGATTAGACAACGGTAGAAAACACCAACTCCCGTCCTTCTCTACTGATTTACTAAGTCACCCCTTTCAAAGATAATACACTGAATAGTTTACAGTCATAGACGGACAAATTCTGACATCACAAAAACGTGTCTATAGAAATGTTATTGTGTCTATATAACAGGATATATGTAAAACCTATACAGAGAGATTTTTACTTGTGACTTTTCTCAACATATATCATGTTCGCTATGTTTAAAAAACAAAGGAATGTTCCGAAAAGGAACCATAATTGGAGAGAATTATTAATTTTTTTCTCATTGTACAGAAGATTCTCTTTCGTTCAAGATTTAAAAACACAAATGTATTTTTGTCTTTAGTTTTTTTGTTGTGCTAATGGTTAGTTGTTTTCCTATACCAATTACATCCGACAACGCCTTTACAAAATTTTAATTACAAATTATTTTAATAAAACAATTAAACTTTTACATCTGAGTAACGGGCATGAAAGCCGGACGATGAATACACTACAATTATAGAGTGGAAATATGTCCCTAATTGGATATTGTAACACCCACATTTACTAAATATTTACAGCATAATTTTACACCACAACAAAAACTGATTTTTGGGAATGAAGTTTATTTAGAATTTTAAATGTTAATTTTGACACGAAAATGAGTCCTGATAGTCTTGTTGTGTTAGGAGAAGTCATAACTGAACTCGAGATTGTGTGTTTTATGTATTTATAATAGTTCATCATGACTTGTCGTTTGGTAATTTAGAACAGACCAAGATTTACATATGTAAATGCTGGAGTGATTGAATTTGTAGTGATGGCTGACAGAGAAAACTTACAAAGAAGCTATAGTTTCCAATTCTACTGTCAAAACCGTATTTCTGTGGTTGATATATGCCTTCGTCAATACAATAATAAATCAGAATTTTGTGTAAACTGTCACCTCATAAAAGATTATGTTTAATTCGCTACATCTGGCAGCAAATTCAGGCTACATATGATGGCGAAAGACGGAGAGACCAGACACACCTGTTTTAGTGTTGATAAAGCTTTTAAACAACGCCTAGAATGCTTTTACCTTGCTGTAAAACTGAGAGTGCTTTTTAGTGGAGCTGTTTAAAATAACCATATTTGTTTGACAAGATTTTAACAAATAGTAAACTCACAACATAGAGTTTCGAGAGATTCAGGTATATGAATATCATGGACAAGTTTTACACTTGTCATAAATATCTAATTTGGAGGTATATAATTTTGTTTGATATGAAGTAGTTTGTGTGCTGCTTGTTAGATTGACAAACGGCTCCGTTGTTGATTGTTTTGTCCTTATTTTGGAAAGTGACATTACTTATTTGGAATGACCTACATTAAGATGGCAGATGCCGTCGTTGAAGCAAAAGACACTTACCCTTGTCATGTTTGTATTACAAATTAGAAGCAACTTTTGAATATTCCCGTCCACCAAAGGTCGATAAAAATGTAGTACAAACACCCAGTAATTGTGTTCGGGATGAACAACAAATTTTAATAAAAAAAAACATTTAATGTGCATAATTATAAAAACAGACTTTAAGGAAGCCCACTCCTCTCAATTCTCATGACAATAAGCAAGAATCAGTGCATCATAACGTTTGTTCAATGTTTCGTCTTCTCACAACACATAACATTGTGGTATCAACGCCCATTTATGACTAGTAAGGTTGTTGGGTAAGATTACGCAATGCCATATTCCCTGTCACTTCGCCTAGATATCCGGGTACTGACGGGGCAATGTACTCTTTCTCTTTATTCTCACTGGGTCAAAGATAATGACCATTTTTTTTCCTTTTTCATGCCTTGTAGCATTCGATTATCGTCATAATCAATGAAGTGTTTACATATAAGTTGAGATCAATTAACATACGTTAACTAAATAAAGAAACGCGGATGTGATGAGAAAAGAATCCGGACTCGATATCAAATATGGGTTGGGCTCTGTACAGCAGACTGCATGATATCAATGATCAGTATAATTGGACAAAGATAAAGGGAAACCGTATTCCTTACCGGAATTATCAGTCCAAAGGTGAAATATGTTAAGCCAGCAGTAACGAGATCGACGGGTGCCAATGAGTGCGCCACGAGGCATTCAAGTAGAAAACAACCCCTTCCCCCCTACCCCATTCTTAACACGCACAATATATACCGTTCATGTTTGGTCGTGATAAATAAACTGATGTCCTTCGTGATTTTCATATTATTTAAAACCACAGCAATCATGGACAATTTTCTAGACGTGGATGAATATCTTTAGTTACTGTGACATCGCGTTAGTTGCGGCATCCGTACTAAAGTTGTGGACATTTAATAATTACACGGGTAGATTAAGGCGTAAAATAGCACTGCAATCTACACCATCTAAATTAGTCCCTATTTTGTTATCCATGTCATGACATACGATTGAAATAACTTTGACGTGACCTCTTTTCTTTTTTTGTGACTTAAATATACCTTGAACAAACCAGTCAGTGTGTACCGAATCCTTATAAAGTTATAAAAGTACAAATCTGTCGCTTTCAAATATTTTATTTCAAATACTGAACAAAATAGCATCGCAAATACATTTGTTATTACATATCAAACGATTGAATGTATATTACAATGTTTACCTACTCATCCCTTTGTATCGCTATATATCATAATCTATTGTTAATTTGATTTTTTCAGCTTAATTAAATGCATTTAACGTTAAAAAGACGACCAACCAATTCTTTTTCTTTTTGTATAACTTTTGTTACCGATGACGAAAAAGAGACTATAAGCCCATGGGTACGGAAGGGTACGCGTTTTCTGCTTCATGACAGCGCCCGCTATATATATCTTACTTTTGATTTATTGCCAGACATAGAACAAGGGACGAGGCACAAGCTATTACAACGTATCTACGTCATTTCCTAATATCGATAACATACAGAAAACATTTTTGTCGGGAGAACATGCATATATCTAAGATAGTATAACAGTTGGAGTTTTCATCGTTTCCTGAGTTTAGAAATTGTTTAAAATCGGACATATGATGGAAGATCCGTGATAACACGGATAGGCTTCTCTTTTTCTCTAGATTTTCAGATTCAAATAAAGAACACTAATCTCATACTGTAAATCTCGGATCTCGCGAATAATTTATTTCGCAAACTTACCTCTTCGGAGATATTTGCGAATACATATGTACATGATTTCGCGAACGGTAATCTAAAAATAACGTTAAATTCGTACATGATGGGCCATAAGATAATTTGTACTCCAATATCGGTAACCGAATCAGAATGGATGTCATCAGGAATTATTTCTGTACAAATAATCGCGAGGGATATGAATTACGCGAAAATAAATCTCACGCGAAATATATGTGATTTACCGTAACTCGCAATCATATTTGGGAGTGGCAAAATGAACTTTTTGTAAATTCTTAGAAGAGCATCACGACTTCGTAAAAGTTCAGTTTCCTTCAATTGTTTATTTTTGTCATACTAGAAGCATAGATTAAGAGCGACTCCAAAGTGTTTTGCACTAATCAGAAAGCTTTCTCGTCAAATTCTAGTTCTAAATTTGCATTAGTGATAATTAGTGATAAATTTGACAATTACACTAACAACCAATTAAGATAGGATTATACCAAATCAGGAAGCAATAATTAAGCTATTTTCCATTTAGCCTGCTTTCTTAAAACCCTGTTTTGCGAATTCCTTTTCTCGTCAGCTGTCCATAAGAAAAACCGTAATATTATGATCAATAACTAGATTAGCAAATGAAGTGCGATATGTAAACACTTAATACTTGGGAAGCAGGCATGTAACTATCTACAAATGGAGATACCAAAACAGAAATTGAAATCACAACTTTTATCGTTCAGTTTAATGGAAGCCTGTCCCTTTTGGTTGGATTGCTTTAACAATATTAGCTAGTACTTCGTCTTTGAATGTTGTTCATTGTGAAGGTAGCTTTATCAAGAAAGCCGTGTCCTTCTATCAAGAATAATAACACTCTTATCAGTATTTTTAAGAAAAAGAACTGTAAGAAAGCATCTTTGATAGCTATCGAATTAGCGCGCAACTGAAATTGCTAGAAAGCTTTTCGAATTCCCTTCCCACCGATAACTTTACAGCTGCTGATGATGTGAAATACTGCTATGTACATTGCATAAATGGTAGGCGTATGAGTAATACAGAAGGAGTATTTACTCGGAACGTTTGTTCAGTATGTAAAAAAGTCGACTTCTCTACTCACATGGAAATCACCAAGAGCTGATTGAGAAAAACACGATCTGCGTCTGTGATTTTATTTTGAATTATATGCATTTTCGATGATTAAAAAGGATATTGTGGACAAGATGGCCGCCAACGTTTATAGTTGTTTTACTTGGTGACAACTTGTACAATAAACATTGGTTATGTCATATAATATGACGGCCTAATCCGAACGTATTCATGTACAAAAAAATAAAACTCATCGGTGATATCCACCATAATTTGCCATCCGAAAGCTTTTTAGTAATTGAAAAGTTAACTGAAGATTTTAACAGATGAGATCCCCACAGTGATAGGCAACAATCGAACATTTTGGTCGTGTAGACATTAATACTTACGACAGGTATCCATCTCATTGTATACATGGAAATCATTATACCTGGGACGTGTGGAGTCACAAAGACATAGAACACACGTGGAAATCATTATACCTGGGACGTGTGGACACGTCACAAATCATTATACCTGGGACGTGTGGCGTCACAAAGACATAGAACACACGTGGAAATCACACGTGGAAATCATTATACCTGGGACGTGTGGCGTCACAAAGACATAGAACACACGTGGAAATCATTATACCTGGGAAGTGGCACGTGGAAATCATTATGCCTGGGACGTGTGGCGTCACAAAGACATAGAACACACGTGGAAATCATTATGCCTGGGACGTGTGGAGTCACAAAGACATATAACACACGTGGAAATCATTATACCTGGGACGTGTGGCGTCACAAAGACATAGAACACACGTGGAAATCATTATGCCTGGGACGTGTGGCGTCACAAAGACATAGAACACACGTGGAAATCATTATACCTGGGACGTGTGGAAGTGGAAATCATTATACCTGGAAATCACAAAGACATATGCACACGTGGAAATCATTATGTGTGTGGAGTCACAAAGACATAGAACACACGTGGAAATCATTATACCTGGGACGTGTGGAGTCACAAAGACATATAACACACGTGGAAATCATTATACCTGGGACGTGTGGCGTCACAAAGACATAGAACACACGTGGAAATCATTATGCCTGGGACGTGTGGAGTCACAAAGACATAGAACACACGTGGAAATCATTATACCTGGGACGTGTGGAGTCACAAAGACATATAACACACGTGGAAATCATTATACCTGGGACGTGTGGCGTCACAAAGACATAGAACACACGTGGAAATCATTATACCTGGGACGTGTGGCGTCACAAAGACATAGAACACACGTGGAAATCATTATACCTGGGAAGTGGCACGTGGAAATCACACGTGGAAATCATTATACCTGGGACGTGTGGAGTCACAAAGACATAGAACACACGTGGAAATCATTATACCTGGGACGTGTGGAGTCACAAAAACATATAACACACGTGGAAATCATTATACCTGGGACGTGTGGCGTCACAAAGACATAGAACACACGTGGAAATCATTATACCTGGGACGTGTGGCGTCACAAAGACATATAACACACGTGGAAATCATTATACCTGGGAAGTGGGAAATCATTATGCCTCACAAAGTGGAAATCATTATGCCTGGGACGTGTGGAGTCACAAAGACATATAACACACGTGGAAATCATTATACCTGGGACGTGTGGCGTCACAAAGACATAGAACACACGTGGAAATCATTATGCCTGGGACGTGTGGAGTCACAAAGACATAGAACACACGTGGAAATCATTATACCTGGGACGTGTGGAGTCACAAAGACATAGAACACACGTGGAAATCATTATGCCTGGGACGTGTGGAGTCACAAAAACATAGAACACACGTGGAAATCATTATGCCTGGGACGTGTGGAGTCACAAAGACATATAACACACGTGGAAATCATTATACCTGGGACGTGTGGAGTCACAAAGACATAGAACACACGTGGAAATCATTATGCCTGGGACGTGTGGAGTCACAAAGACATATAACACACGTGGAAATCATTATACCTGGGAAGTGGCACGTGGAAATCATTATGCCTGGGACGTGTGGAGTCACAAAGACATATAACACACGTGGAAATCATTATACCTGGGAAGTGGCACGTGGAAATCATTATGCCTGGGACGTGTGGCGTCACAAAGACATATAACACACGTGGAAATCATTATACCTGGGACGTGTGGCGTCACAAAGACATAGAACACATGTGGAAATCATTATGCCTTGGACGTGTGGAGTCACAAAGACATAGAACACACGTGGAAATCATTATACCTGGGACGTGTGGAGTCACAAAGACATATAACACACGTGGAAATCATTATACCTGGGACGTGTGGCGTCACAAAGACATAGAACACACGTGGAAATCATTATACCTGGGACGTGTGGCGTCACAAAGACATAGAACACACGTGGAAATCATTATACCTGGGAAGTGGCACGTGGAAATCATTATGCCTGGGACGTGTGGAGTCACAAAGACATATAACACACGTGGAAATCATTATACCTGGGACGTGTGGCGTCACAAAGACATAGAACACACGTGGAAATCATTATACCTGGGACGTGGCACGTGGAAATCAATATGCCTGGGACGTGTGGAGTCACAAAGACATATAACACACGTGGAAATCATTATACCTGGGACGTGTGGCGTCACAAAGACATAGAACACACGTGGAAATCATTATACCTGGGAAGTGGCACGTGGAAATCATTATGCCTGGGACGTTTGGAGTCACAAAGACATATAACACACGTGGAAATCATTATACCTGGGAAGTGGCACGTGGAAATCATTATGCCTGGGACGTGTGGAGTCACAAAGACATATAACACACGTGGAAATCATTATACCTGGGACGTGTGGCGTCACAAAGACATAGAACACACGTGGAAATCATTATGCCTGGGACGTGTGGAGTCACAAAGACATAGAACACACGTGGAAATCATTATACCTGGGACGTGTGGCGTCACAAAGACATAGAACACACGTGGAAATCATTATGCCTGGGACGTGTGGAGTCACAAAGACATATAACACACGTATAACACACGTGGAAATCATTATACCTGGGACGTGTGGAGTCACAAAGACATAGAACACACGTGGAAATCATTATACCTGGGAAGTGGCACGTGGAAATCATTATGCCTGGGACGTGTGGAGTCACAAAGAAATCATATAACACACAAAGTGGAAATCATTATACCTGGGACGTGTGGCGTCACAAAGACATAGAACACACGTGGAAATCATTATGCCTGGGACGTGTGGAGTCACAAAGACATATAACACACGTGGAAATCATTATACCTGGGACGTGTGGAGTCACAAAGACATATAACACTAACCCCCTCCACCAGAAACACTGTTTCACGCCCGTGTGTGAAATTTTATGTTATCTTAAATTAGTTCCCCGATACCTTTTTAATCTATTTTCTTTCCATTCAGATGTATCTTCACAGAAACTATAAGTGTTGTCCTCGGGCTAACGTATACTCCTGCATTCGGGCTGCTAGATGTCATTGTAGGGCTATTAAAAATGAGTGAAAATCTGAGTATTGAGGGGCATAACTCTGGTACAAAGGACAGATGAACTTCTGTCAGAAAATGACTGTTTGCAGTGATATGGAAAAATCGTTAGGGGCGTGGTTATTGATTTGACCTCGACTTAGTTAACCGTGTTTAATTCCGATCAACTTTGCTTCACGTCATAACACAAGAGGTGCAAAGGGCCTTAACGGTCACCTGAAGATACATGTGTACAAAATTTTGACATTGACCTCTGACCTGGTGTTACCTGTAATAAAATAATATTTCTATATTTGTGAGGAACTCTTTCATGAAGGTGATGTAGAATCACTTAAGTACATATCCTTCCATGTTCATTATGAACCAACATTTGAGTTCAGTTACATAAGAGTATATACTTAGTGGAATGAGAGGATGTAGTTGCTGCTGAATAAACAAAAATATATAAAAATCTTCATGAAGTTCCTTATTTTCAAATACCAACAAAATTAGCAGAAAATAATATCTTAGTAAACCAGCACAACTACAATCCCGTCAAACCACATGGGCATGATGTTGTTTCTAGGAGAGGGGGCTGGTTTAGTATACCACTAATTACAGTATACTTCACACACACCCTCCCTGAGAAACACTGATACATGTCCATCGAATCTGTTATACAAATAACACTGAACATTGTTCATATTTCACTTTTATTATTTTTGTTTGATGCATTTTTCATATTTTATTTCATATTTCAACATTGCCATAAAAATATTCTCTGTACATCAAAAGAACAATTGCAAATTTCTGTACAGATCTGGAGAAACCACTGACACTGTATGGATCATGATTAAGTTTATTAAGGTGCAAGCTTCAGAATACTCCCCTGATCTTGAGTTAGAAACCAATTATAAAGAAAATATGCCAGCTGTAATTAAAGATCTATAATATCCGCTCTAAACCTCGACAATTACCCGGTATCTGAAAAATAATGGTTCACCATGTATCGATGGTACAGAATGTAAAATCACAGTTAACCACTCAACAACAGTATATGTTATAATAATCCATATATCAGTAGTATTTAGCCTTAAAATTATAATAAAACTACCTGCAGTAGTGTTTACCTGTAAACAAAACTCATTAGAAGTGTTTACCTGTAAAATCACTGTAAATTACCTATCATATAAGTTTCTACCTGTAAAATAATAGTAAACTACTTATCAGTATTGTTTACCTGTGAAATAACAGTAAATTACCAGTCAGTATCGCTTACCTGTGAAATAACAGTAAATTACCTGTCAGTATTGTTTACCTGTAAAATAATAGTAAACTACTTATCAGTATTGTTTACCTGTGAAATAACAGTAAATTACCAGTCAGTATCGTTTACCTGTGAAATAACAGTAAATTACCTGTCAGTATCGTTTACCTGTGAAATAACAGTAAATTACCTGTCAGTATCGTTTACCTGTGAAATAACAGTAAATTACCTGTCAGTATTGTTTACCTGTAAAATAATAGTAAACTACTTATCAGTATTGTTTACCTGTGAAATAACAGTAAATTACCAGTCAGTATCGTTTACCTGTGAAATAACAGTAAATTACCTGTCAGTATCGTTTACCTGTGAAATAACAGTAAATTACCTGTCAGTATCGTTTACCTGTGAAATAACAGTAAATTACCTGTCAGTATTGTTTACCTGTGAAATAACAGTAAATTACCTGTCAGTATTGTTTACCTGTGAAATAACAGTTCTGATAAAGTCACAGTAAACCTAGTGTTAACATTGTTTAACTGTAATGTTAACGGTAAAGTTCTGATAAAGTCACAGTAAACCTAGTGTTAACATTGTTTAACTGTAATGTTAACGGTAAAGTTCTGATAAAGTCACAGTAAACCTAGTGTTAACCTTGTTTAACTGTAATCTTAACAGTAAAGTTGTGATAAAGTCTCTGTGAACCATCTGTGATCAGGATTTACTTGTAAAATGACCATAAAAAGTACGACACTATGGTCTTTAATCAAAATGTTATTACTGTTTTGTATTATGTAATATCACAACAGAAATACAACCTTTCATAGCATGAATATAGATAATTTACATATTACTTACTAATTAGAAATCCTCCCTGTATACGCTTACCTACATTTTATCAAGTGGTAATTGACAATCTTTAATGTTAAGAAAAAATTGTTTTTTATCACAAAGTAACCGTTAAATACTAGTGGTTTGTATTTAATTACTAAGTCTGGCCGATGGCTATGAAAGGCTAGCAGTTGCATCTAGCCATTAGACATAAGAATTAAGCAATTGATTCTGGCAATAAGAGGTTAGCAATTCAGTTAGACATTAGATACTGAAGATTAGCGATGGAACCTTGCCATTAGTTAGTAAATTTAGCAAACAAGTCTGGCCTTTTAACACTAAATGGTTGCAATAGAGTTCAGTCATTAGAAAATAAATGTTAGCAATCACGTCTAGCCATAAGACACTGGGTTAGCAATTGAATCTAGCCATTACATACTAGAGATCAGAAGCTCAGTCTAGCCACTGGATACAAGAGGTTAGCAGCTAAGTCTAACCAGTAGATACCTAGAGGTTAGCAGCTCAGTCTAACCAGTAGATACCTAGAGGTTAGCAGCTTAGTCTAACCAGTAGATACCTAGAGGTTAGCAGCTCAGTCTAACCATAAGATTGATAATGACTTGGCAATTCTGAAACTTGCACCACAATATGACATGGGAATGGAGTCCATCATTAAGTCAGTGTTGTTGAATTAAATAACACCAATTTTAAAAGTGAGTTGACATGAAAACATGATTCATTATGATCACAAAACAATAAAGTTAAAACAATGTATGACAAAATCATTATAAAACAGTGTGTGGAGTTTACCAGCAGCACTCATAACCACCCAGTTTCATCTGGGAGAACGGCCATACAAACTTAAATCTTGGTCGTCACAACAACTAGATCAATGGCGACCCAATTTTACTGTGTCAAATCAGATTTAAGACAAAAAAAAAACAACCCATATTTATATTGACCTATCCTCATTTGAGTCTTATTCACTATTCATGGGTCAATTATCTCCAGCCGGAGTAAAATATCTACCATGGAATATTAAACATGGTCCTCGTAAAAATCTTCCTCTATATTTCGTGGAAATCACTGATCAGGCTGTCAATAATCCACATGTATGTACAAATCTTCCAATACTCTATCGGGGTTTTTCAGAGAGGAAAAAAAAAAAGGGGGGGAATTATAAATGACATTTCAGAAATGTAAATGACATATGTACACCTGATTCACAATAGCTTCAAGTCACTTACCTAAGATACCAACTCATCATTTCAGTACAGGTACAGTAAAGAGTGAATTAAGTATGCCATGCTGATAATATCAGATCAGGTTAGGAGTAGCACAGATTGAATGAAGTACAACTTAATGACAATATCAGATCACTATTCATACATTATAGCATGCATCAAATGCGACCATCAAATATTAACCCTACTGACAATACTTGGTCAGTGTTTATTTTGCAGAGTGAATCAAGTACGCCCTTCAGACAGTATCAAATGCGACCATCAAATATTAACCCTACTGACAATACTTGGTCAGAGCATATCTTGCAGAGTGAATCAAGTACGCCCTTCAGACAGTATCAAATGCGACCATCAAATATTAACCCTACTGACAATACTTGGTCAGTGCATATCTTGCAGAGTGAATCAAGTACGCCCTTCATACAGTATCAGTCAGTGTAGGTTTTGAACTGTACAGGGAGTACACCCTTCTGTCAAAATTGGGTTGTGTAGGTTTTGTACAGAGTGAATCAAGTACACCCTTCTGACCAAAATCGGGTCTGTATAGGTTTTATACAGAGTGATTTAAGTACACAAGAGCAGGTCAGAATATTTCAGGTGCAGCTTACAAGAAGTAACAATATCAGTAGTAAAGCCTGAATCAGGTGACTAACAACTGACAGATTGAAAGCAATGCCAGTTATCAGAACTCTAGTTAATATCATTATCACAATAACTAGTCTCAGTATTACATCAAACCATTAACAATCACTATCCTTTCATTTACAGAGTAATTTCTGGCAATTTAATGTTCGTGACGCACATTCTGATCCATAACAAAGGTATATGTGTACATACACTGAATTATTTACAACAACCTAAATAGTTTCCTGCTAGTCTTCATAGACCAACCAATCCATACCTTCATATATACTACACATTCAATAGTATACAACAACCTAGCTAGCTGTCTGTCAGACCCCACTGAGTTCCACAATCAACAGTACACAGATGTTCCATGATAAGTCACTAGCTATTCAACAAAATCATCAGTTTTAATTAATTTAACACCAATTTTTTCTATGATTTGATATTTCAAATGAAAACAAGCTTTAACAAGTTTATCTATCTAAAAAAATGATTTACTGTGTTCATATTAATTAATCAATTAATTAGCTAATTACTTTCAGAAGTCATGGAACAATATTTTATCTATTAGGAGTAATTTTGATGACATGTAAATGAATTGGTCAGAACGAAGAATTTTTTCCTTTGATAAAAATGGTTACAAATTTCTACTGATATTTATGGTCAAACACTATATTTCAACAGTTTTCAATTTTATCAATTATGATGTTGCCTACATTCCATGGTTCAGAATTTAAACCATACATGTAAGATACAACTCTACCAGTTATATAGATATTATTCAGAACCTCTGACATTGAATAGCAGGCCTGGAGGTGGGGGAACTGAGATCAGGCAACCCCTTCCAGTCCTCATATCTATCCTTCGTAAGTACAGCACTAATAACCATCTTCGGTATAAAATATTTAACAAATCCACTTAGTCGAGACATGAACAATAGAAATACCCACAGTGACACATAATATTGTGTCTTGTTTGAAATTTGTTCACAGTAAATATTGAACCCTGTATACTAATACTAATTACCAGCATACAAGATATCATCATGGGGACAACTTGTATAAGATATCCTTTCGGTCAGTATTTTCTTTAAAATCTTACCTTGAAATAACATTAAAACATGAATATGTACATTCTGTCACAGTGATAATACTATGTAAAAACAAAAACAAAAGTCTTCTCTCCAACATTCCTACATAACCATCCCAAACAGGACAATTATATCCCATCTCTTGTTCAAATCATTTCCATTCCTACATGATCCAGTAAACAGCTACTTGGTCAACAAGTGTCGTGAATTCAACCACCAGGGGGTCATTTCACTGAAAGAATAATAAATTTTAGAAAAAATTGAATTTGTTTCATTTTGTTCCAGGTGGTTGTTTTAACTTGATGAAATAAATGGTTTAATTTGACTTATGAATCCATTTTAACTCCTCTTGATAATGACCATAACCTGATTACTGTTTTACATATCAAAATGTCATCTAGAAGTCTTGACATGTATACCATTAGTTTTACATACATACAAAATGTACATTCTTCCATCCATGACAGAAATTTGTACCATTTCCCCAGTACAGACAACTGGAACATGCTGAATCTGGGCTGCTAAATGATGTTTGACATGTGAAATTGAATGGTCTCTTAAGTCTACCAATTCTTAAATAAAATGTTTTAAAACCTGTTGATTTTTATTGAGCAAGTATTAAAACATATCAAAGTGTTAATGTATTTTTTTGTTGAGCTGTATTTTGTGACTATCTGATCAGGATAACCAATCTGAAGTGTCAAACCTAACCTAACCATTCTATTATATCATCTGTATATAGTTGTGTCTCAAATTTTTTAAAAAAATTAGTAAGAACAATGGGAGAAAAAATAATCACTCCCACTTTCAGGGTGATGCTAAAGAAATGTCCAGCCCTCGGAAAGGCTTCTGACAAAACATTTCTCATTCTTTCTTTTTGGCTGAATTTTTTTTTTCTAACATTCAAGGAAGAGAAATATTCCATCATTCTCCAATTCAATCAACTCTTCATTAAACACAGGTAAAACAGTTGTTTTGTTTTTAACATACTGTTTCCTTGTGATGATCGAGGTGATTTTTATACTGATATATAGATATCTTTTTGATCTAAAAAATAAATAACTTATTTCCTTTTCCACTCAATACGTTGGAATTCAAATGGTAAAAATATATCTTTATATAATTTTGAAAAGCAAGATGAAAAATTGTTTTCATAAAAATGATGGCAAGATTTAATATGCATTTCAAGAAAAAAAAAATTGTCAGCAAGCAGTGGGTTCTACTTGAATGAATACATTCTCAATTTGAAGAAAAAGTCACCTGAAATTGTAGAATTTTCCCCTTTGAATGACTAAAAAAAGCAAATCTTAAATAACATATTTGGATATTTTCTCTGCCACCTGAGGTCCCGGTATATAACTCCACCTCTACTCTCAGCCAAGGAATCAGTTGATATGATTATTGAGCATTTGCAGTTAAAATGTGGTTGGTAGATTATAAATATACACAGTTATCAAACACTGTTGATCGAGAGAATCTCTAACATTACCCTTTTAACATAGTATTGTAAACTGAGATCATTGAGTTGAGTAATTATTTGCCTTTAATGTTGTTGATAGGACTATAATAGTAAAATTGACAGATGGAAAAATGTAAAGAATTTAACCTGACAGCGATCTGCTGAAGTGATTACATAAAAATTGGAATATTACAACATAAAGATTAAATTTAAGAAACAGAGCCATTGACTTTCGACCTGAGAGAAGTACAAGAAATATCTTGAGGACTTTCAATTTTCATTAAATGTACAGGTATGTAAAACCCAGTCATTATAAGCACTGAATCAAGTGCTATATATTAATAGGTAGATTTATATAGATATACATTTACATTAAGTAACTGGTGCACTGAGAATGAAAACAATCTAAAGTCATAAATCTAGATACAAATCACTGATGTAGTTTTTTACAGAAGAACATCAACTGTTGCACAATCATCACTCTGATACAATGGAGAAAAGTCTCAACAAATATTTTCCTTCTGTGTTTATCTTCGAAGTGGAAAACCATGACTTTGCCATTTTGTAGAGGCAAATTTGTACTAACAATATCATTGTGTGAAATGCATTAAATGGTTGCTGGCTAAAATCCTGGTATACCTTGAAAACAAATAATGGCACATACCAATACTAGGCCAAAAGTGTGAAGCAGATGTAAAAAATATCACATCACTTTGCCATCTGACTAAAATTTACAAAACATTCAACTATTATAAACAATAATTTTTTGACTCCCAAAATCCATGCTTTCTTGTTTAAATGAATATCTCCAGCAATTGATAAATAAGAGTTCTAGATAGTAAGTCTATATTTTGTCAAGGACAATGTTGTATGCCTGATGTAAGCTAAAGAATTACCAACCTACCATGCCTACAGTCTGATCCAAACTTAATGACAGTCACTATACAGGATCAATGTCCACATACCTATATTTCATATCAACTAGACAGAATCCTTGTAACCGAGATAGCCACCGATTACTAGAAAGAAACCCTGTCTCAAAATGATCCTGGTTGTAAACGGGACAATAAACGTAACCAACAACAATCCTACACTTACTGATTCATGTTCATAACTAACTATAATTTCACTGTGAATGCTAAAGCTTTTTACAATGAAGTAAATGATCCAGCAGTTGAAACTCCCATGATTTCATTAACATTCTTCAGAAAATTATCTTCATCAATTTCACAACTATAGTTGTCACAACTTCAAAAACTATTATCCTGTGGTGACCCAGATCTTTACAAACTTCAAGACTTGTGTCACATTAAATGCATTTCAACAGTGTTGTTAAACATTGCTACAGAACTAATGCTATTTTGGTGTGTTTGATTAATGTGAGATCTTTGTTTTGTCCTATCTGGACAATCAATCTTGGATGAAAATTGTGGTTACACAATGAGCACTGAGCAGATGCTGAAATGGAATGCCAATATTTCATATAATTTCATATCTTTATCAAACAATGGTTTCATGCCATTCAAAAAATCATCCATGCTTTTTTTTACTCGTGATGACATGATTTGGCTGCTAAAAACTTTTTGTTGTATTAACTTTCTTATTGCTGACGAATGTAGGGTACAAAATCATTCATCTTCCTTCATTCCATAGCATTTCAGTTATTACCTCTAGTAACTGAATATGGCAATATAAAAATTTATATCAACAAAGAGGAAAGGTCACTTTTAAAATTCATCAGAGGTATCAACAAATCTGAACATACAAAAATATGCCCTTGTTACCTCCGTCAACAAGCCCTGCCTGCTAAAGACAAGGAAGGTGTAAGTTCATTGTCCATCATCAGACCCATATATAGGGTCAGCCCCATCTAGAGCAACAGCCCCATAACTGGCCCATACATAGGGTTGAACCATTAACAGTGACAGTCCCGTAACTGACCCATACACATGGTTGAACCATTAACAGCGACTGTCACATACCTGGCCCATACATAAGGTCGACCCCATTAACAGGGACAGCCCCATACCTGGCCCATTCATAGGGTCAGTCCAACCAACAGGGACAACCCCATACTTGGGATCGGCATGCTACACAAAAATTGTACAATCCTACACACACATTTTATCAACTTGTACATAAAATTGAATATCAATCTTACAATACAATACTATTGAAACAAAAACAGTTCAATTTATATATACCATCATAAAAATGTACATATTAATTATTTCCCAATCAAAACAACATTGGAACAAATGCCACATTTTTGCTGCCTTAGGCATAAGGACAGAACTTGTTTCGTGATATTAAGGAGTTATCTCCCATAGGTGTAGTTGGAAACAAAAAAAAAAAGTCAAAGGTCAATTCCTATTACACGGCCCTATGCAGCCCTTTGTCACCCTCCATCACTGTTTTAGTTCAGATATGCACTGACAAGTTCAAATTTGAAATATTTTCCTTGTTCCATTATTTCACATCAATCTGCTCCAGTAAACATCTGTGTGAGATACAGAGATACCATAGTTGGCTTGTCCATTCATCACTAAGAGTAGGCCCCATTCTGGTGGCGAACTGCCAAGAGATCGTTAAATGACTGCTCAAAATTTTGTTTCAGTTCTGCGTACGATACCACTAGTACGCTGAGCTCATCACGAGACATAAGACAGATCTTCTCTGGTATACCAGCATCCAGCTGTCAACAAAACAACAGATCTATAGTCAAACATTACAAATATTCCTTTTATCTATAGTCAAATATTCCATTTATCTATAGTCAGATATTCCTTTCATCTATAGTCAAATATTACAATTATCTATAGTCAAATATTCCATTAACCTATTGACATATAATAAATTTATCTAGTCAAATTTTGACATTTATATATAGTCAAATATATTCAAGTATTACATTTTTCTATAGTCAAACATAAGATTTCACACAACATCTGGTATGTAACTTCTCCCAACAGTCCATGGAATGACAACGTAACAGTTGAATATTAAATTTCATTAACTGATAGTTGATTATTCAATTTAACAAAAGTTTGGTTAAATATCAATTTTATCTACTTTATAAATGTATGATTTTTATATTTAATTTATGTTGATATAACTTTTGTAATCAGTTTTATAACATGGAAACTACCAAATATCTTGTGTGATTTTACTACGATCAGATCACTTGAAATAATAGCATCATAAAATAACACAGTTATAAAGAAGTGACACTTAGGTCTCTATACAAAACATATAGTAAGTTTTATTTCAGAATCAAACTACCAACACACCTTATTTAAGCACTGTACAATGTGGGCCATGTCAATCCAAGGGGCCCCATTCTCATCTACCTGGTGGAACAGGTAATCTCGGAAAAGTTTCAACATGTACCTATCTCCTGTTTCTGACCACTGTGGATCCATGTTGAATCTGCAATAGGCAATGTATCAAGTTTAAACTCCCAAAAGAAAAAAAAATTCTATTGTGCCAATGTAGTAAAATTAATAAATTTGGAAGCTACAAAAATTCTGGAAAACAGTAAATGTAGAATTTAACATGAAATAAAGAGATTCCTATAATTTGGTCAGCCTGACCGGTATGTGATTAATCTTTTCTTTCCAAAACATTCTCATTTATCTATCAACCCCAGAAATTAAATCACAAAAAACCCCAATTCTTATCAATTTCTGAGATTATCATACAGACAGTTTGATGACATTTTTATCTCTATACAGCCATACAAGTTTCCTTATCTTTCAAATGTTGTAAAATGTTTGTATTTGATTGATAAACAATGGAAAAACACAATTATTCTAAACTTTGTTCACCTAAAATTCTATTTCCACTATTTACATACATTATATATATGCCAATTTTCTGTTGTGACAGAACACAAAACTTACTCTGGCCTTTCGTTGATAATCCCAAACTTGCAAATTAGTCGGAGCACTCGACCATTCTCTACCTCCTGTACACAAAAATAAAGCAATTACTTTTCATTTTGTTCATTACTCCTAGGACCAAAACTACATATTGGTGGCCACAGGCGTGACATGGACCTATTGACATAACATTTGTAATAGGACAAATGCTACACATTGGTGGCCACAGGCATGACACGGACCTAGTGACATTAACACTTGTAATAGGACAAATATTACATATTGGTAGCCACAGGCGTGACATGGACTTAGTGACATAACATGTGTAATAGGACAAATGCTACACATTGGTAGCCACAGGCGTGACATGGACCCAGTGACATTAACACTGGTAACAGGACAAATGCTACATATAAGTGGATATATAGTGACATGTAACACAGTAAGACTAATACCACGTAACATTGTTGATAACATCTGTGACTGTTTCATGGGCATACAAATTATTGTATTCCACTGACACACCATTGTCAATCTATCTAAAATTGATAGTCTCTTACAACCAACTATGGTTAAATTATCACTCCTTTTTGAACCCCATTTCTGAGAACTCATTTTCATCATCAGGGTTTCTAATCTTTAAACATATTATAATACTTCAATAAATAAATGATAAACTAATGATAACAAACCTTGGCCAACTCTGTCTCTATCACATCACTTCTGAGCTGGGCAGAGTCCAGCTGAGTGTAAAACCTCGCACCAATCATTGGCATGATGTCGTTGATGCTCCTTGGCCGATTCTGATTGGCTAGTAAATACCTAAAACAGTTAATCATCAGATTGTAAAATAATCCCTAATAAATGTGTATTAATAAAATTACATGCTTCACCAAAACCATGATTTCCTTCTGAATGTGTAATTAATACAATTATTGCATACAACTTAATATTTTGAAAACTGGAAGATAACAAAACATGGCTACGAAAACTGGTACCCCATAATATGAATTTTTTTTCAATTTCTTCATAATTCAGTACAACAATTTACTTTTGAAAATTCTTACAAAGCCCCAAAGTTGAACCAATCGGCAAACAAAAAAACTGTTAGTACTAGGGAGAATCTTAACAATGTTCATAATTGATAAAAGAGTTCTAAAACCTTTTCATCAATGTACATGAGTTATTGTTGTACTGATGTCTGAAGTTTTGTTAGGTTTTATAATGACAAGGAAACAATATGTACAAATTAGTTTCCTTTAACACAATCTTGCTCAAACGGGTAGTGAATATAAACAGTACATGTATGTCAGTTATCCAATCTTAAGTTTAGTTTGTCTTAATGGAACAAAAACAAGTTAAGGATGTCTAATTAACATCATAGGGGAAAATTAAGGCAGGAAAGTTGTGTTGCCACGTTATAATTACTATTTGGAATATGAACAAATCAATTGATTTATAAAATCCATTACAAAAGATATTCATACATTTACAATTAAAGATAAGAAATCTTACAAGAAGAGATTCTTCAAATCTGCTGAGTAGTTTCTAGCTATGAGTTCCATCGAATTCTGGAAGCTGTCACGCTGAATTGCCATTACAGTGTTACAGGCCAGTGCCAAAACCACACGTCCCATGAAGAGCAAGTCATCTTGCTGCAATCAAATCCATCATATAAAATGAGACAATGTTGCCAGAGACATCATCCAAACATCTCGTTAATTCTGACCTCGTAATTTTTTCCAATTGACTTTTTTCTGATATTGGCAATATTTGTACAAGGCAAATGTGAGACCTTTCATCAAGAAATAAAACACTGTAAAATCCTGTTTTTAGTAAGCTGCCTTGATTTATGTTCCATCATGATTTGTCAGCAAATACCCCATAGTGCAACCAAAGCATCAATATAAAACCTTTAGCAGAGAGTTACAGTATCCCTACACACCAATATTAAAAAACAAACTTTGAATGGTGATTTTTACCTGGTAATGAGGCATGACAGCCATCGGGTTGCCATTGGTGCTATCAAAGGTGAGGACATCCAGAATACCAACACAGTTGAGCCGTAACCTGGACTTTCCATAGATAAGGACCTTTGTGGGATCCATAGTCCTGCAGGCCAGTCCAGCAGCATGTATAGCTCTAAGGGCCGAGCTTAGCTGCACCACATATGCCCAGATGAGGCTTTCAGGAAGCAGGCCTGCATGTTGACGCGGACCATTCACATCTATATCAAAGAGATAGCATTTATTTACACAACTGGTCACATAAATTGGAAAAATAGAAGAATTCATATCAGATATTGGGAACATTTGAACAAGAAAATGAATCATGATTTGTTAATATACAGTAAACTTCTGGCTGTTGTAAATAGGTAGTAATTGTAAATTGTAAGACTCAGAGATAAAACACTAATGAGACAGTTTTAATAAAGCTTTAATCTGTCCCTACAGTCTCAATTCACACTCTGAATACAAGTATGTCAATACTTAATCTGCTAATACACTAGCCACCATATGCTCCGTCCCCCGCCCCCCAAACCCGACCATCCCCAATCCCCCCACTTGACTTCCATAATTTCTTGTGATATAAAACATGATGAAGGCCAAAATGAAACCTGTGGTCTCTTAACAGTCCATTAACATGTTTCAAAAGATAAATATATCATAAATGACATATTTTACAATGTTCTGAACAGGTCAATGTCTTTACCAATCAGTAGTTTTATCCTGCCATGCTAGCCTGTGTTTTTAGACACTTCATCATAATTTTGGGCACTGTTTGAACTCTAGTTTATCTTCTTAAGCATTATTTTGTACACAATTCCAATGAGTTAAACAATATAGATTAAATTTAGTTTGGTCTGAACAAAAGTTTACAGTAAGTTCATACAGAATCTTAAAATAATATCAATCATAAACGGATACGTTTTACAGGGATTCTTAAAAAAACTCAGGAAAAGAAAATGTAGAAAGTTTCACACTAAATTATTCCCTATAAACAAACAAGATAAAATAAATCGTCCCCTCAGTAACTCTGGACACCTAAAGAGTGACACTCACTTCCTTTACCACCTGCCCCTCCCCCTGGACCTCCTCCATGACTAGAGTTGAATGAGCGCGAAGATCCATCCATGCTACCATGGTAGCTGTTCATGGCACCAGCATTGTGGAAGTGATGTGCCATCAAAGTCTCTGCTCCAGCGTAGTAGTCATACACAAAGACGATAGCTGTAAAATATAACATTACCAGCATCGTAAAAATTCTGCTCCAGTGTAGTAGTCATACACAAATACGATAGCTGTAAAATATAACATTACCAGCATCGTAAAAATTCTGCTCCAGTGTAGTAGTCATACACAAATACGATAGCTGTAAAATATAACATTACCAGCATCGTAAAAATTCTGCTCCAGTGTAGTAGTCATACACAAATACGATAGCTGTAAAATATAACATTACCAGCATCGTAAAAATTCTGCTCCAGTGTAGTAGTCATACACAAAGACAATGGCTGTAAAATTTAACATTACCAGCATCCTGAAAAAATCTGCTCTCACATAGCAGCTGTACAAAAATGTGCAAAGAAGTTCAACATGTACAACTCAAGCTGAAACTGTATTGTGATATCTTACCTATCATTAGTGGTATGTAATAGGATGCTTACCAAAATATTGGGTAGATGGTAATCAATTTTAAAGTGTACAATTAATACAATACAGTAATTACCATTTTTGTATAAATTCACTTGAAGCTTGAAGTACTGGTATAAACTTTTGTTGTCAAATGTTCTATCCTTGTTAATCATTAAACTTTCATTTTCTTACCAAAAGTCTTATTCTTGCTAATATTGAAACTTTCATTTTCTTACCAAAAGTCTTATTCTTGCTAATATTGAAACTTTCATTTTCTTATTTCTTGCTAATATTGAAACTATCATTTTCTTACCAAAAATCTTATTCTTGCTAATATTGAAACTATCCTTTTCTTACCAAAAGTTTTCTTGCTAATATTGAAACTTTCATTTTCTTACCAAAAGTCTTATTCTTGCTAATATTGAAACTATCCTTTTCTTACCAAAAGTCCTATTCTTGCTAATATTGAAACTTTCATTTTCTTACCAAAAGTCTTATTCTTGCTAATATTGAAACTTTCATTTTCTTACCAAAAGTCTTATTCTTGCTAATATTGAAACTATCATTTTCTTACCAAAAGTCTTATATTGAAACTATCATTTTCTTACCAAAAGTCTTATTCTTGCTAATATTGAAACTATCATTTTCTTACCAAAAGTCTTATTCTTGCTAATATTGAAACTATCATTTTCTTACCAAAAGTCTTATTCTTGCTAATATTGAAACTTTCATTTTCTTATACTGTAGAGTACATTATGAAACAGCCTAGGTCAATCTTTTGGGGATGTCATCAATAAATAGGGAAAAAAATATGATAATTCAAAAGAGTTGGTAATATCTTACAATTATCTCCGAAGGCCTTGGTGGTGAAGACCTCCCTCAGCTGTACAATGTTAGGATGATACATTTTCTTCCACATGTCAATGATACTCATACACTTAGTGTTGGATAGTCGGAACCCTGCGTATTGTAGAAATGTCATCTATTTAATACTAAGATCAATCTTTACAGGCAAGATATCATCTACATCACCAGCAAAATATACATCTACAATCTACATTGCAAATAACTAGGCTAAAAATATAGTTTACATATATATCACAGTAATTCAATAACAATTGACGTTGACAGTACCAAATTGTATGCGATGCCATGTCATAAGCACAGAAACAATATGTCCTCTCATTTTATTGCTTGATATATCAAAAGTATCAGCAAGGATATCCTCCCGAGTGATTAAATACATTTATTTGATATTCCCCATTCACTTACCTTTTCAGAATATATTTTTGCTCCAGAAAATACCTTTCAGAAAAACTAAAGGTTTAGTGTTTTTTGTGCATACACTTTTTCCTTGTCCCCTTGGAATGTCAAGGTAATATCAGAGGCTTGTGGTTAGCTTTCTTACTTAAAATTAACCCAACAGTAAACTGGCTTTGATATACATACCATGCACTCTCCTGAGACAGTAGGTGAGACCATCCTTAGTGTTCACAGCTTTGTAGCATGTGGTTGGGTAGCTAAATCTATTCGACTTCTGCATGGGGTTGGTGGGAGGAGGCTCCAGTGGAAATAAGTTGTGGTAGGTATCTACCTCCACAGGGATATCTACAAAGAATATCATAGCCCATGAATAAAATAACAGAAGTTGTAACAGAGCTAGCCCCATGGATTATTTTACCAAATAGGATCAGGAAGAGTTTGTCAGTTTTAAAGGAAATGTTGAAAACTTTCATGCATGGTAGACAAATGACGAACATTATGATTTGATCCATCAGATCAGGTCATCTGACATATGGGGTAGGAATCTTCAGGATGACCTAAAAATAGCTCTCGTGTGTTGATTGGTATCCTGTCATGGGGAACTGAACACATACTGGTCATATCTTGTAACAGAGTGATATGCGTCATGTGTCAAGCCTAGTGTTTTCTCCCTTAGTTTTTTTAATTTGGTAAGTTATCTATGTATACATGCTGAATCAGAAGAATAATTTGTAACAATAATTACACTGTTCACTACAGGAGGGAGCAATAAGCATCAAACCAAACACCTCACACCTTTGTAACTCAAGACGCAGACCCAAGGTGCATGATTCAATGCACCCTACCCATAGCAATTTTTGTTTCTTAGGAAAAACAGACAAATCTGTACAGGCATGGTTAGCACCCTTGGGCAAGAGATTTTACTCTATATTGTACAAAGTTGCATGTAGTACCCCTTGGTCTGTTGTTCAGTGAGGTAGCTACCACAAGGAGACCACAGCCTGAAAATGACCTTGGTTGGCAACAAGGTTATTAACCAGGAAACAATTAAACATAAATACTGACATACATAAGACCATGACAAAGATTTGTGTTCTTCAAAGACAATTTAAATATCTACCGCGTCTCAGTTGACTTGTGATAGATCATGATCGTCCTGCCACAAATATTTCTTTTACAAACTCCACTCAATGTTGACAGTTCAACAAAATTTGTATTGATATACCAATGCAAATCAAAGGACTATGTAAAGACATCCTCTATCTCTGCTTATGTAGTTACTGACTGAGAACTGTGCATGAGCAATATGTGATCTGTGAGTGGAAGAAAAAAGGAGTCTGGGCAAATTTTCAGATTTTTGTTGGCTTTTTTCAAAATGTTGTCATTTTTCAAAATGTTGCTATTTATAATTTATAATTACTAAAACAAATACAATTGAATACCTGCCAAAATTGTGACAATTATTTTTTATAAAAAATTAAAGTGGCAAACCAATTATATTCATGATATGATATAAGGCAGTCCTGAAATGTGAAGTATCATATACTGTTTCCTGTTTCTTCATTTACCTGGATTTGCACTAGTATCAATCTGGGCCATGGTCAAAGCATGACGGTTCAGGATCTCCTACAACAGATAGACAGTGATCTCATTCATGGGCAATATTCGTTTTTTTTCTTCAAAATGTTGGAATTAAAGTATTCAGTATTCAAAACACACATTAAAGATATCTGAATAATAAAAATAGAAAATTTTAGCTTTATACAAAAAACTTCAAGCATTCTGTCCATCAGTTTAGCAAAAAAAATAAAAAATAAATAATGAGTCAGATCATGGATGAAAGGTACACTGAAATGAAAAGGAACAATGCTACAAGAATACGTAAATATCTTTTCTCCGTCCTTCTTTACCCCTCCCTGTGCCCTCTTAATGCATCCTTATGAAATTGATACTTACCACTCTCAGTTCATCTGGCATGAAGAATTGTGGCATATTCTTCTTTACAGTCATATGTGCAATATGAGGTGGGAGACTTGGAAATACAGAAAAGTTGGGCAGGGCCTAAACAAAACATTTACACAAAAATTAAATTCACATACTAACATTTGCTAAACATATGATGTACTATAAAAATTCTAATACCATCTTAAATAGAAAAGGCTTGTAGAATAGACATATATATATATCCTCATTCTTGCTTTATTAAAAAAAGGTTGGTGACAAAGTTAGGAGTTTGGTAGACTATGGAACTGAAAGAGCAAACCTTATGCTTCATTTCAATAAATGAAAAAACTGAAAAAAATATTTCTGCATGCAGTAATTCATTCCAATAAAACAGCAATATCTCATTCATCAGGTCTCTAATTCCTGAATTCTTGATTTATTCAATGCAATTGACATTAAGATTTCGGTTTTGAAACTCAAAAAGAAGAAAATGGAAGTATGGTTTCAAGTTATCTCCCTTTGACCACAAATTGCAAAATGTTTCAAGGATTACTGCTAATTTGAAGCTATTTAATTGACCAATAAAAAGTATCAATTTGAATTAAACAAAAGCAACAATTAATCTTTTTCAAAAAGAAAGCATTCCAACTAGCAAAATACACAAAGCAAATATTCTGACACAACTTACAGCTCCTTCATGCTGTGGGGTGAAATCTTCTGGCGAGTAAAAATATGTGGTGCCACCTACATTTTCCTGAAAAATAAAAGGTTCACTTCTTAATCCAAAACAGTACTACTACATAAATACACTGTCCTTTTCAAGACTGCATTTTCATTAAGAGTCCAATTTTGATTAAGACATTTTTAACCTTAAAATATCACATTTTCAATATAAAAGAATATGAAACAAATCATCAAACATTCTACAGTGCTTGCTTCAATGACCTATTTTTCAATTTGATCAGACAGGTCATAAGGAGGTTTTTCAGACTCTGAGAGGTTTTTTTTCCAGGTAAAAATAAAGAAAAAACAAAAAAGAAACATCCCTACTGCAACAGCTGATGAAATAGCACAGGTACTTTTGAAGAAAATGAGCTGAACACAAAAGTCCAGTTTTGTGATATCGTTGATTTGAAAGGTATTTATGTTATGTGATTTTACTAGTATAAAGCTTGGTCTAAAAATGAAGACATTTTTGGAGTATAAAGATAAACTCAAAATATCAAAGCAAGGTAAAAAGTGACAATACAGTCTCAATTTTGTGATTTATTGTCCAAGACAAAACAAAAAACTCTGGAGAAGTTGCTGAACTTTAACTCACCTGTATTGTCGTATTTGCTGACTTTTTAGGCGTTGTATTTTTCAGCGGTGTTATAGGCGAGGCTGTGCGACGTAACATTAATGGTGAGTTGGAGGGAGATAAATGTGGACTATGGTTCGGACTGGCTGCGTATCCTTTACAAACATAAAAAGATTTTAACAAATCAACAATGGTTTGATTAAAACAAGAACATAAGCTTTAGATTATTCCTAGATAAAAAAAATACAGTAAGAAGTGGATGTCAGTTCATAAATAGATACATTTACAACACTTATGCTTTTTAAAACCACGATATTTATTTATACTCGATTGTACCAATTAATATTTGACAATAATTCTTTGCTTTTACATAAGAACTAGAGGTAGCATATGATATCAACTGACGTTCCAAAAACACAATTGAGCTCTCTGTAACACACCTGTGGTGGACAGGTGTGAAGGGGGAGGCGTATTGGACATCTGAGCACCAGTATGGGGAGGAATCATTGGGCCACTAGGGGGAGGTATTCCCATTTGTCCCCCAAGCTGTGACATGTGATTCACGTTAGGGTTGTTCATCATGTGATTGTTTCCAGAGCCATCAGTAGCCATCCCATCGGAAAACGTGGAGAAGTTAGGAGAGCTTGCACTATGTGTTAGAGGTCCATTCTTAGGAATGAATTCATTCGCTATTGGATTTGGTCCCTGTAATTATCAGAACCAAAAAAGAATGGGGTTAAAACAAAATTTTGAATGCATTTCACAAACAAAGTTGGTGTTAAGATGTCTTAGATATTGATAATGTAGGGTTATCTTCACTTTAAGCAGATTTTATTTTTTCACTTTTATCATTCATCTAAAACAGCAAATAAAAGATGAAAAAATCATATATTAGTATTAAGACTAACTAGTCACCTTTCCTACCCTCATATTTTTTGGCTACCCAAAACTTTTTCAGGCAAATAAAGTCAAGATGTCTCTCTTTTATAAACCATATCACATTGTTTGTTAACTTCCTTACCCTAATTTTTTTAAAGCATAACAGGAACCATTTTTTTGTCTGGCCTTATAAAATAGCAAAAATTTTACAATAAAATGTTGCAGAGACTGAATTTTGGTCTGAATCCCTCTCAAACCAAAAAATTAATTTTCATTAATTAAACTATGCAAGGGAATATATTTCAATCTGAAAAGGATCATATAAAGAAAAAGTACCAAACACAAGACATAGGTAAGAAATATACCTTAGAACTTGGAATTGACAGATTAAGGGCAGCAAAATCTGTGGGCATGGAATCCATCCTTAGGCCAGCCCTAGGGGGACCCCCATTGGGATTGGGATTTTCCATCATAGATACGGGTCCATTCATTCTAGGACCATATCCGTCCATCATCTGATTGGGTCTCTCCATTCCATGACCAGGACCATCAGGTCTCTGTATTTGGCCTTCCATCTTTGGGCCTGGAGGTCCTGGGTGGCCTGGAGGACCTTGAGGAGGGGGTCCAAAGGGGGGCTTCATACCCTGGGGTGGCATAGGATTGCCCATGTTTCTATGTGTTCTTGATATAGGTCGAGAATGCTGTAAAACAAAATTCATTTTAGTAATATAAAATATGAATCAAATATGGAGTTGAAACTACTCTACTTCACAAATGTTCTGAGTGAAATTTTGACACACTGTCTGTTTACAGATCTCTATGACAAAATAACTTTGTGCTACTTAAGTTATTTTTTGTTTGGATAAATCAGAACAGCACACCATAGTAATTAATGATAATTACTTTTAAACATAGGGGTGTGTTAATAAGTCTCAACTGTTTGAAGAATTCATATCATGCAATGTGGGTACCCGGTATTTAAATACTGAAATAACTATGCACTGTCACATATATTTTTTTGTGCAAGTGCAAATTATAAGCATATGAACAAATTTAACAGAGTTATACATTGATGAAATGGTGAATCCTTATCACATAAATCTGCACATAAAAAACTTAGTGAAATGATGATTAATGGTTAAAAACAATGTACATTTACCAGGTACATGTATATCATTTACCTATTTTTGTAAAAATTCCTAAAATGTGCAGCAAAACAGAATAGGGCTTCAACATGTACAGTTTTCTTTAAATCCAAATACAGAAGCAATACTTATGTACACACTGAACTATGTATGTCAATAAATTGAATTTTTACGTCAATTCAATAGTCTATGTTTGGCAATAAATTACATTTCCATTATAATTGTGTGTCAATAAAGTACAATGTACCTGTGTGTCAATAAGGATGTTTATGTACACTATATTTGCGTGTAAAAGTACATGTATTTGTGTGACAACATAACACATTTAACATTTTGCAAATATGTGTGACAATATGTAAATAATACATGGTCTTACTGGAAATGGGATGAAATCAGCTCCACCATTTTCAGGCTCAAAGGTGGCGTTGAAATACTGATCTCCATTATTTCCCATCATATCGAAAGGTCCTGCTGTAAAATAGGATGATTCACTTCCTCAATAAAAACTTCTTAATCTAATCATACTACATCACATGTGTAGTTCTCATCATTATTATACAGTGTTGTTCTAATTAGTTAATTTATACCAGACAACAGCTAAATTATCCTGATTTTCTATCAATCATGTTTTCATTATAATCCATGAAAACTATCACAAGAGTCACAGACATGAAATTGTCACTGAAATCAAATAAATTTCTAATGATCTTTCACTGTTTATGGTATGTAAATAACATTTTACCAGTTATCATTTGGATTTAATAAAGGTACAAAGTATTTCATTGTCTATTTCAGAAAATGTCCCCATATTAATTTCCTTTCTTCCCTTTCATTTTGAAATTTTGATTGATCAAAATTTGATCACTGCTTGAAAACAGTATGATTAATAATCATGAAATTTGAAGCATTTTAAACATAAAGTTTGATCAAAAGCTAAATCACTTAGTAAATGAAGATGAATTACATATGATTCTCCAACACCTAGCTTTGTTAATCCAAATTATTTACATAAGCTGTTAAATTTGTACTGACAATCACTTTATTACCACTTTAATTTATACATTTAAATTCTTAAACTTTCATGTATGTAGTTGTTAAAATTTAATTTCCCTATGACATTCCATCAAGTAATTGTTAGTGTTTGTAAGTATTTGGTAAATAATAATATATATCAAACTTCTGAGTGTATGAAAGCAAGAGCGTAACATGTAGAGTTTTACAAACAGTAAATATATTGTTCCTATTACTTTTCCCAACCAGAAAACAGGAAACTTTACCTGTCTTTCGACATAAACCTTGGAAAGTTACAAGTACTGTTATATTAAGATTAATTTAACTGATAAGTTTAATAATTTATATTGATTTATAATGTTTTGTTTCAATTACATATTAGTTACTTTATAATAAATTACATACAAAATCTGAACAAGAAATCAATGGAAATATCTGTCTTTTATAACTATGTACTCCTACTTCAAGTTTCCAAAATTATCTAATATGAAAGATATTCAGTTAAAACCTCTTTTAGATGTTTTTATTACATATATTTTAATAAAGCATGTTGTCTATTGATGGTGTGTACAAAATTTCCAGTCAATGGGGATCTTTTCAAGAAAGTTTAAGTTGTTGCCAATTCTAAAAATCCTTAAGAATATCTAGTTTTACACTTTTATCACCAAAAACCTAAATTAAAGTGTTTCAACTTGATACTTTTCATAACTTATGAAAGCTTGAGATGTACACTGTATGCTCTAAACTAAATACAAAATTTAGATACAAATGCACCTGTATTTTCTGAGAAACTTGGAAAAACACAATTTTTTTTGCTGTTTCTAAATTAAGAATATATGATTATATGGATATCAACAGAAAATTATCACAAAAATTTTCCATCCATTCATTGCACGGAGTCATCATTAAAGAAAAACAGGCAAAGTTTGGTTATATTAATTAAAATTCATAAAACCTCAGGAGATGCATAATGTATCTAGTCGTCCATTTTCAGTGTTTTTTCACACATCAATGGTCAGCATGAGTGATGCAATAAGACTTTCCATCTTAAAGTAAACAAGATAAATGCTTGAAAGTGTCAAATTCTTTTTAATGACAAGAATTCATCCTTGACATTTTATCAAATAACACACGAAAAAATTAACTTGTGAATACTGGACTGTTGTCTATTTGTTTCCAAGTGGAATGTTACTCTGAAAAACTTACTTTTATTGGTATGTAGAACAATGAGAAAAAAGAACAGACATACTTTGACAATTGGAGTATCAATATTAGCTACTTCAGTATCACTCTTGATAATCTGTCAATATTTGTGTTATCTATGAAAGCTGTTGTAGCTACAGTGAAAATCACATCATAAAATACATAGACATCTGAAGTCAATACTACCTCCAAGAGATTTCCAAACTGATACGCCTAAAAGTACAGTTATCATTTAGGCTGCTTCATTTTCAATATAGTTTTTCGAGGATTCGTGAAGACTAATTTTACAACTAGGTAAAGTGTTGTGACAGTATTTTTTCAGATTCAAATATTCAAATACTAAATTAATGCTATTCCTGTGGTGTTATATCTAATTTATAACTGGACTTATTCCTATGCAAGAAATGGTGCTCTGGACTCATCAGAAAAAAATCCAACAAAAATTTAAGTAGTAGTAGTCCCCAAGAGGTATGTTTTCCCTTCTGAATATAAACAAATTCCCCATCAAGAATATATCCTGAAAACTTTGGGAAATTCCCCCTCCCCTCCTGAAAAAGGGGAAAATTCTCCCCAAAGTGCTAATTGGTATATTTTATCTAAAATATTTTCTAATCATCCATAATGAAAAAAGACATATCAGTCTAACCTCAACATTATCGTATTTTAATCATGTAATCTTCATGTATGTCATACATTTTTACCCCATATAGCCATCTTTTGAATTCTGACCAAAAGGGCTGTTCAAAATTTTTCCACACCTCAAAATTGACAAAAAGAAAAAAAATCCTTTTCATTACTACAATAGGTAATATTCCCAAACTGTAGATAAACCTATATTTTTGTTTCTGGATGGAATTGATCTTTAAATTTTCCTGAATGTGGATCCGGAAAACACATAATTTGCTTTTAGTTTAAATAAAACGTCTATCCCTGCTGAAATTTTCCAATTACAAAACATACACAAAAATAACGTACATAATCATGAACAGGTATAGACTATAGATATATTGGTTTACAAATTCCTAGTGAGTAACTGTATGATTCAGAACATAGATCACAAATCACTGCTGCTACACTTACCTCCCTTTAATTGTTTATAAATAAATAAATCAAATCATGCAGCGTGAAGATGGCTATGATTGATAAACAAACAAATACATATGTGTAATGTTTATATGATTTACATTTCAATCCCTTTATTCAAGCACTACATTTCACCGGTTGTAAAAATTTCTGGACAATGAGGTTCAACATGCAACTTGGCGAACAGCTGATTCGCTCAAAATTAGACAACATGATTCAGAATAAAAGAACATACAAACAATCAGATCGATATCACAGAATAACATGAAACATCTTAAATCAAATGACCAAACCTTGATTTTCCTGTGATGACGATGAAGGACCGTTCGCAAATGGCTTTTGAAACCCTACACCAGATCTGGGATTTTGGTGAAAAAATTGACACTCATCACCATAAATGCATGAACCTGCATTCATAAAATATCGGCATAATGTGGGTTTCTTCCCTCCAGAAACACCACTTGTCATGGTACTTCACGATAGCAAATGTCTTGTGATCACAAAGTTCGTGACATGTACATTTCAAAGAAAAATCCTGTAATGTTTTCAACACTTTTCCTTCTTTTTGAACAGGTTCCCCCAATCGTCTTGTGCGCATGCGTTATTGTACAGTGAGTATATTCTCAGTCAGGAGTACGTTTTTCTTTAAAGCGCTCGCCCGAGAGGCTCCTCGGGGACCATCTCAAAAGTAGACTGAAAGCAACTCCGCGCGTACCGTCGGTTAGCCAAAATTGGCTCAAATATTTAATAAGAGTCATTATCCTTCCAGCTATTTCAAGTGCATGATATAAGTATTATTAATAAAGTGTATGAATCTGAAGCCTTCATTTTTATATATATGTCAATTTCTGCCCGAATAGTATTACATAATTGTTTTGGTATTAAATATGTTCACTGAATTTATATATAGTAATATCTCTATATATATTTTCTTATTTATTTTAAGAACGGACGACATATTTCACTGTTTCCTATACACTTCATATTATACAAGGAAACAAGTTGTCTCGATGAGTTTTTCTCCGTTGTCTCCCAATATATTTTTCATTGATGTTAATTAATATGCTGCTCCTATGTAAAACCAATAACATTTTTAAAGTAATGATTTGTTTTTTAAAGCACATCTAAACTTTCCAACTCTATGTTAAGATATTACGCAACACTACTTCAGAAGGAAAACCATGTATATTTCTAAATTGAAACTAAACATGGGTGATTACTCTAATGAATTAGAAAAATGATTCTAAAACTTTCAATATTATACTAGAAATACACGCATTTATATAAAAAATTGTAATAAGAGGTCGATCTAGCATCAGCTGCTACCTAACGATTACGAGACGTGTAGCCAAAAATAGATCGCCTGCCTACCCGACGTCTCTTGATCTTTTTGAACTTTTCATGTGCATGTAAAGTTGAATTACGACATCTGCAGGTGGCTGGTAATTTCTTGTGAGTAATTGTGGAACCACGTTGACAAACCAGCGTAGAGCACATAGTTACCTATGAAAATTGGACCCATGTAAATGGCTTCATAACCACCGTGATGTTATTGTAACAGAAAGTCATTGAAACAATAGTTTTAATTAAACAAGAATATAAACCAAGTACGGATTACTGTGATTGGGTTGAAATTTATTAGAAGAAATAATTATAAATGGCGAAAATCGTTTGTCGTAGGGATTAAACAATGTAATTATATTTAGCGCACCGTCACGATTGACTTATGTATGTAGACTAGAAATGTTCATATTGCAATGAGAACATGCTCCTTTCAAATTCTATTTAAATATATTTGATATAGCCGCTTTTTCAACGGAATGTCAACAACACATGTATTTGAATATCGAATATCTGGTGAGCAATACAGGGCGATGTTTTTCAACATCGTACAATCATTTACAGTTCTGCGTAAATTTGTGTACACTGTATAAGTGTACTTAATATTCACGCAAACGAAATCAAGCTACATATGATAAACACAGAGAAATACTACACATTTCCACGTGATAGTTGTAAAGGTTGTTTTCAGTTGTACCATCCTAAAATGTTGCATACATCATGATCAGTGGCTCTTCAGAAATACCGATAGCAAACTTTAAATATCACAATTCAAGATGGCTGTTGGTTGCCATCTTGAAAATCCAATTAGCTTTAAAATGTTTTATGTATAACTAGAGACCATGCTGAATTACTTAATTTCACAACAGCGTTCCAAGAAAATCTTTTCAGCGGTAACAAACTGAAGTAAATTTCAAAATCCAACATGACCGTGAAAATTCTATGCTAATCTCATAATTCAATATGAACTCTCTATTTTTTCTTCAGTTTGGCATTTTCAAAGAAGTTTGTCCGTTGTCAGTCAGTTGAAACAATATCTTGCCTCAACAGACTAGAAGTTCTTATGACACAACCGGTATAAGATCTCCTTAAAGGCATGGCACTTTACCGTTATCGTTCTGGACTGCATGCGGTGGGCCTCCAGTGTGTTCTTCAGGGGTAAGCAACCATATAACTATATACTTTTACTCATTCCAATAACTTTTAACTAATAACGCTGTTCTTTTTGTTGTTGTTTTATTTTTCTTCGATGTCACATTTTCATTTTGTCTGTTTTTTGTTACCTCATTCAAAGAGGAAAAAATGACTAAAACCAAAACCAAAAAGAAATATGAGACCAACTAACATGAAAAAATCCTTGAAATGAAAAAAAAACCCCACAAAATTTAAAGGCTACAGTTTAATTCAATTCGTTCTAAAGGACTGAAGTGAGCTTGTACCATGGCAGCGCCCTTCGTCTGGAGGGGTGGATATGTGGTAGCATATTATTCAAAATCTTTCTTCGGGTGAAAAAATGTCAAGATTTTGGTCAAATTTGATGTTATAAAGCATCATTAGGTGAATTTCTTCCTAATATAATTGTCGGATCTGGCCCCCATGGATAGGGACGTTTCCGAAAGTTCCTTTTCTTTTAAAACTCGATTTTGTATAAACAGTTGAGTGCAAGACATCTGGCGACAGTGGCAGAGTATTCCTCCTTCTTCAGAAATAAAAGAATCGTGATCAAATTAACTGTGAACATGATTGGGTTGAGATGTTTATATGATCTCAAACTAAACCATCTCATATGCATGAACAATTGAGAAATACTCCAACATAGTTTATTAGAATTGTATGTAAGTTGTTAAACGTGACATTTGGAAATAAGATCGACCGTTTAATGTAAATCAGAGACCATAATATATGTAGAACAAACAGAATGAAAATAAGGAAAGATAACACAATGTAATTTAAAGTTATCAGCTATAATATCGGTGTTCCTTGATCAGCAACCATTAAACTCGTGGATCCTCCCACACAAAGACCATTTCATGTTATACAGACACGTCACCATCAAATTTGGTAAAACTATGCAACTCCCAGACCCTATGGGCTTACAGGTACAGAAAGCGAAATCATAACAAAAGGCCCAGTGGCCTTTAGAGTCATCTAACTATAAAGACCTATGTATAAAAGATGCCAAAGAAGCCTAAAATAAATTGCTCAACTACACTACAACTCACATAGAAGACATTACTCCGGACATACTGCTCGTTGAAAAAGCTTGCTACAGACTCGATATCAAGACCCTATGCCCTTTGGTTACGCATTTCAACACATTTGATCCATGTGACCTTGAAAGTGGGTCAAGGTAATTTATTTTAACAAACTTGGTAGCCCTTCATCACAGGATGCTACAGGCCCAATGTAAGCACCCTGGGTCTTTTGCTTATTGAGAAGTTGTTTAAACATCTCAACATACTTGACCCTTGTGACCTTGAAAGTAAGTCAAGGTCGTTCATATTAACAAACTTGGTAGTCCTTTATCCCATCATGCTACAGGCCCAATATCATCAGTATCCTGGGCCTTCTGATTATTGAGAAGTAATTTGAATGGAAAGTGTATGTACGGCGGATGGCGCATACCAACATACGAAACACGATGGATATAGGTCATCCTGACCTTTGGGTCAGATGACCTACTAGGAGACTTTAGCGCCCAACATCGCCAGATCAGTACTTCCCTCTTAATAAAAAGTCGTTGTACTGGCAGGTGTCTTGTTAGTATGGTAACGTTCTTTTTTTTCAACAGAAGACTTGCCCCCCCCCCCTACCCCGCAACGCCTGTCCCCCTAAATACCACAGATAAATGCAATCATCAAATACTGATATATTTGTAAACATGAAATGAATCAAGAGGCCCACGAGTCTAAGCTGTCTCCCGACTAACCTCAACCAAACGTATCTTCAAACTAATTAGAGATTTTAATGATATAAGGCTGTATATCGTATGTCATCAAAATCCATGTATATTTACTCAAGTAATCACATGGTTCAATATTGTGCAAACTACGATTGAATCAGTCACAGGCACTCGAGGCCAGGATATTATTTTTTAAACGTTGATTTTTGTTTTAGCACTCATGACTGACGTTATTTAAACGAAATATCAGCAGAATTCAAGTTTATGTGCCGGTTGACAAATCCGAGGTCCACGGTCATTAAAAATACACAAGGCAAGCAACTCCAGATTTTAAAAAATCGACCCCTCGCTTGGAAACTGGCTCAAAAAAAGTAGTTATGATAAGTTCCTTGTAAAACAATATGTATCCGTAGGTAGTGTGTATATTTACCTTTTATTTGGTGCATAACATTACAGGCAACGAGAAATTCACAATACGTACATGAGATTAACATCTCAATAATCGGAGATTTTATCGTCCATGTAATTATCTTTGACGGAAGTAACATGCCATTTCAAGGGCGGTCACTCCGACTTTTTGGGAGAGGAGTTCCGGATAGCACTATACCAGTGAACAGGTAAGAAAGGTTCCGATGCATTACGCGCGTAACTTCAAAATAGATATTTTTATTTCTACAAATACATTTGCGGGGATGGAAAAATAATGGCTGGGCAAAGAAAGTCCACAGTTGCCAACTCGGATACAATATCATGGTAAGGGATTATACAGAATGCATCAAATTTCAATCAAGCTGGCGGTAATGAGAATTTTTTTTCAAAAAAAAAATAGAAAAAAAAAATCATGCAGATAATGAAAAAAGGGCGCAATTTATGAAAAATATCGTGGGGGAAATATATTAACTTAGAAATTGGAAATTAAATGATTTTTTTTCTATTTTTTTTTTAAATGCCCAGCCATTATTTTTCCATCCCCGCAAATGTATTTGTAGAAATAAAAATATCTATTTTGAAGTTACGCGCGTAATGACATCGGAACCTTTCTTACCTGTTCACTGGTATAGTGCTATCCGGAACTCCTCTCCCAAAAAGTCGGAGTGACCGCCCTTGAAATGGCATGTTACTTCCGTCAAAGATAATTACATGGACGATAAAATCTCCGATTATTGAGATGTTAATCTCATGTACGTATTGTGAATTTCTCGTTGCCTGTAATGTTATGCACCAAATAAAAGGTAAATATACACACTACCTACGGATACATATTGTTTTACAAGGAACTTATCATAACTACTTTTTTTGAGCCAGTTTCCAAGCGAGGGGTCGATTTTTTAAAATCTGGAGTTGCTTGCCTTGTGTATTTTTAATGACCGTGGACCTCGGATTTGTCAACCGGCACATAAACTTGAATTCTGCTGATATTTCGTTTAAATAACGTCAGTCATGAGTGCTAAAACAAAAATCAACGTTTAAAAAATAATATCCTGGCCTCGAGTGCCTGTGGAATCAGTCACATTGTTGGCCTCATTTGAGATCTTATAGATAAAGGGCTACATACCATACAAAAGTTTCATTAAAACCCGCACACATTTACCCAAGTTATGGTGTTCACAAGCTTCAATAGTAAAACTGCAAAGGATGACGACTTCAAATTAAGATTGAATCGACACCATTGAACTCATCCGATATAATGACTCCATAGGAAATCTTATCAAAATCAGTTCATATTTACTAGTTATTGTGTCCACAAGTGAACGCAAGAGGACGAAAAATGATTACAACAAGTCTCCATGTCATACGATCAGGTGACCGAAAAAAATAAATTAATTTCTCAAATTTGACATTTATACTCCTAAAATATCACTCCTACCGTGGCAGGGGAAAAATGTACCTGCAGCAATTGACTTAAAACTAAATCTGAAGTGAATTGAACAAGCCTGAAGACTTTTGAAGTTATTTATCTACCGAAGTTAAAAAAAAAAAAATCATGGAAGCTATTTGCCGTGTTCAGACTTCCAGTATCATACTAGGAAGTATTAACTATATACCATTTTGGATAAAAAAAAGAAATAATTACTTTGAGAAACCAAGATTAACAAATTCTCAGTACCCCTGATTTCCAGAGTTGTTGGGCTGCAAAACCCAAACATAAGAACTGGTTAGCTGAAAGTGATTAATCTAACGCAAAGGAAACGCATTTAGAACAATTGTTTAGATTTATTGGCAATAGGCTTGCAGTGTTTGAAAAAGAAAGTTCTCTGAAGTCCCAACACTCCCACTCTAGGCGAGAGGACCCCATTGTTTATACAAAATTGACCCCCTTCACCAAAGTATGTTTCGGGCCAAATAAGGCCAAGATCCAGGCATTTCTACACAACGAATTATGAAAATTTGCCCCATTCAGCATACCCTTCCCAACCTTGAGGGCCAAGATCCACCATTAATAAATACTGATTTCCCTTCACCCAAGCATGCTTCATGCCAAATTTGGACTATATCCTGCAATTCCTTGAGAACAGGTGAAATTTGAAAGAAATTGTTAATTCTTTCCCATTGAAGCCCAGTTGAGATGTCCATTATTCCACTATTTGATATATCTATGGGCCGAGTTTGAGTAAAGTATGACATTAAAATATCCATAGACATCTAAATTTGGTACAACACAATTTCCAAACAATTTCTTAGAGCCGATAGATATAAAAAGCATGAAAAACATAAAACTTTAAATAAATTCACAATATTTATTTCGATGATGTACAAAAAAGGTCATTCATTCTCTCATAACTTACACGCTTTCCATTTTCTTTTGTTCATCTTGCATCAATTCATGATGAAACAAGAGGAGTTTTGCAAATACAATTATGTAAAAGTCATACACATATAAATACAGACATTATCACTGTGAACATGTGCCTTAGGGCAGGTACTAGCACTGAATGGGCACTGAAGACGGAATGTTACTTTCTTCGAATTGCATTATAACTTTTCTGCAACTCTGCACTGACTTTTTATCTCCTATTGCTTCATATATTTTGCTTGCTTCTGAAATGAGATGGACTCGGTCTGTCTTTGAAGCAATCATGGGTTCAGGAAGGTGCCTGCCTGCCATCAAGAGGGCTGTAGCCTGCTGTCTATCTGGCACATCACTGTCTGAACTCTCTTCTGAAATACAACGTACATGTTTGTAAAGGATAAGTATGCATCACAATTAACTTCTTAAATCAAATTTAAAGATATTTCTTTCTTATTCATCATTTCAGCAAGTTTTCATAAATTGTTATTTGAAACATCATTTTTGCTTATATATAGCATCTAACAATTTCATCAAATGAAACTAATTTTTGGGTAACATTTTAATCACTCAGTACAACATCAGATTTTAAAAATGATTTACCATGTCCATCCACAATCCACACTCTTATCTCTTACCTTTGTCAGACTTGCTGACATGACGACGTCTGATGGACCTCTCTAAAAGTTGCTGTGTACGTGCTGGACATGCACCAGCCATCATGCGACCGGTCGCCTCATGTAAAAACACCTGGAAAAAAAAAAAAAAAAAAATCAATATTGTATAAAGAGGCAGTTTATGAACATTGACTCATTATAATTAAACATGCTGTTGGGCAAGATATGCAGAGAAAAAAGACCCATTAATTGCTTTTGTTTTGTAAATGTTTGTGGATATCAGTTATATATTACTAATCCAAACAGCGAAAAGCATGAACTAATATGAAGATGGCATGAAAATGTTACCTTTGACATAACAGACTTGTAGTTTTTGGCAACCTTCCTGAAGCTTGCTAGATCCTGTTGGTATGCAATGAGTTCAGTCTGTGAGGCTGTGGTGGACTTGTCTTCCATCTGAGCACATTCCCAAGCCTCTTTCCTAGTCATTAACAGCCAGTCTGATACCAACAATTGCAGATGCTGAAATACAAACATGCATTTTTTAAAATGGTAAATGCAGACAATACCTTTGGTTATGTAGAGTCAATATATAATTGTTTCTGTGAACCTCACATTGAAAACTGATTTGGGATGCAACCATAATGTTCCCACATTTTTCGTAACAGAAGTTTCAATCTTAAACAATGAAATAACTGAAAATGGTAAAATAATTTCAGAAACAGACAGACTATTGCCTGCTCTCAATCATTAGCAAATCTCATTTTAAATATTGTGCAAGACTACCATATATCTGAATTGTGTGAAAATCACTTTTGGAGACTTTTCCAGTAGAATATGCCACCAAAGACTTGAAAAACAATTACCCATATTCAATTTAAGCTCCCATTTGTTAAATTTAAATCCTGGAGTCTATAGGTGGGATATTTTATATGCATTAACAGGTACATTTCCATGACCTATTTCTGAAATGCCACACCAAATGTGATTTCATTCCTTATGCTGGTTCTTGTACACATGCAATATCTCCTACTAGTATATGATTACTAATGTCACAGGATGATAAGGTAAAGTTGATGAACATCAGCTGGTTGGTCATGCCACTGTGATTGCACTGCAGATGCACTGCAAACTCATATTTAATGCAATGCAACTACAATGCACCACAGGGACAAACACATTCAAATCCTCTGCATCTGCAAGCAGCAACCAAGATGAAAAAGTGCAAACATCCTTCGGGGTCAAAACAGATGGTCTGCTATTGTCTTTTTAGTCCTATACTGATTGTGAAGAAACAGATGAAGAATGTCACATCAAGCCTCCGAAAAAAAATTATAGGAAGATTACTCACCGAAACAATTTTGACGTTTTCCGTCATGTATGTGAACTTGAGACTATCACGAAGCAATCTCCCAGCACGGTCACACTGGCGAACACAATGGTTTCCTCCATGAACATTTGCTTGCAGATTTCTCCTTGCTCTGAAGGCTACCAGTACAGCTTTTGGTAATGGATCACTAAAATAAGGAACGGATAGATATTGTGGTCACAGTGAAAAGTTGAATCGAGCCATCATAAACATCAAGTTGCACACTGAATCAAATTAAAGTATTTGAACCAATATCTCTATATTGACCATCAAATCATGTAGACTTTGAGAAGTACAACTCACTCTGACTGCTGAAGTGCTCTTGGGAAAGCATCACACTGAGAATAACACCTTTCTGCATTTTCCTCATCTCCAGATAACCAGTACATCGCCACACTGATAATAGATGACCACCATCTCGCTACCTCATCAACACCTAGTTCAACAAAATCACATTCTTATTATCTTCAATTTTACAGTTTCAGTAACTAAATGACCAATATCATATCCACATTACATCTTGGACCTATAAACTTGTGAAGCACATGATTACATTGTTGAAACTTACCTGAAACTGACAAGCCAACTTTTGTTTTTTGGAAGGTGGCACAATCTGACAGTAGCTGAGTGAACAGAAGAACCTCAGCCGACTGAGATGGACCACTTTGTTTCTGAGGCTCGGGTGTGAGGAGGGAGTAAAGTGACTTCTCCAGCAGAAATTCTCTAAAGGCTTGTGTCACATGTTCCAAAGGATCAGCTATAAAAGATCACAAATCACACTAAAGTACACTTACTAACCTTACTGCACTATATATAAACTGTTATTGGTTTAAGTAATTACCACACAAATTCTTACTTGTTGAAAAAACATTGTATTGTGCTATATAGGTAACAAGAAAAAGGATTTTTTGACCGAATTATTCTAGGTCAAATCCAAATTAAGAGCTAACCTTCATTTCCTGACACCGTGAAGATGCTGCTCTTTCCACCTATTTGCCACGATCCTTTCACAAAGAAAACATGACCTTCCGGGTGACACAACCACTGCAATTTGGCTGGAATCTGGTCCCCATTGCCACTACAGATTTTCCTGGCTTGCCTCAAAAAGTATCTCTGGAAAAGCAAATTGATAAAAATAAAAAATCTCCTTTTTTTCTATCTTGAATGGATTTTTTTTTTTTTTTTAAACATTTGAAGATATTTTTGAATGGTCTTCATAGCAATGCAGAAAAGATTTTACGCACCCTCAAGAAAAGGAGGTTCCATGGCAGTGTTGCTTGCAGTCGGACAGCAGCAGTAGCATATATCTCAGCCTTCTGTGCAACAGATATGTTCCTCCCAGCTGCCTCAGCCATATTAATAGCACAAAGGGCTAGGTTTAGGCCCCACATGTTTCTTCCTGGTATGTGTCCTATCACAACAAACAAAATATTTCAAACACTGAATATTTAATATTTTCTACAAAATTAATAACAAATAAAATTTAAATTATATTACATTTTCACAACTCATCAAATTCCAACTGAATTTTAATTTTATGTTAACACTAAGAATTTTCTTTTGATATATATATATACATAATTATGTAGGCATTTTTTACCCCATTGTGTAACTTTTTATTTTCTCCCTTATACCTGTAAGATGGATCTGGTTGAGCTTGTGATACACCATTGCCGCATCTCTAGCTGAAGTCTTCACATCTTCATCAGTGTTGCTGCTCAAGTTACTGATCTGGTTTGAAATCCATTTCCCAAGGTAAAGCCTATTTAGTACCATTCTTATGATATTCCATAGTAACCCTGAGGCTAGGTCCAGACTTGTTGTGGTCAAGGGACGTCCCAAGGCTGAGAGTGATAGATAGAACTGGTTCACAGCACGGGAATATTCTTTCTGAAAATTGAATACATGAAGGTTTCTTTTCAATAACATGGAAAGATAGTGTAAAAATGTATTTTTTAAAACTAGTTTTCCATTCCTACATGCATTTTACAGTAAGTTAACACCCAGTTTAACTGAAATAAACACCCTTTGAAATACACATGAATTCAATGCAACTGGTTGTATATTTACCCTTCCAAGATAGTTCTCTGCTTGATTGTGGTGCCTCCAGAATGACACTGCTGCTTCACTGTTTTTCTTGGTTACAGGCTCCCCATATATGAACAGCCTTGCAAGCACTCCAGCAACAATGGTACCATTTAACACCCACATCATCAGAGTAGGGAACATCCAGTCCATGAACCCAGTAGCACCACCTGAAGATGTAAGTGTTACAAGGGAGATATTTAAAATTTTATTCGCATTTCTTGATTGAATAGTCATAAATCATTATATGAATATTATAATACAATAATAACTGCTTGTAATGTGCCTTTGTTTATTGTAATTTTTTCTCTGTAAAATATCAATGGCCCTTTATTACCTATGAAGTGCTGATGGATAAATTTTCATGCAATTGTAATCAATAATGAATTTCGCAATGGAAACTGCAACTGTACCTTCAGATATGCCCTGAAGTGTCCTTCCTGAATAGCTGCTAGCTCCAACATCCAAACCCTGTGATCCTGGACTCAGCAGAGCACCAAAGGGGTTGAATGCCAGCACAGCAAACATGAAGATACACATTGCCATCCGTGTCTGGTCACGCATCGAGTTGATTGTTGTCATACCAAAACTTGCTGTTTCAGTTTCTATTTGGAGATAGAGAAAAAATTCATGGATTTAAATTTCAAGGCTCAGAATGAATAAATTTCTGCATCTTGTTTCTCTATCTTTTTTTTTTAAATAGTTCATCCAGTGCTGATAAAAACAATAATTTTCATTCTATTTCATATTCAAGAATTAACCCCATTGCATATTACAATATGATTACATCTTGTGTGTTAATCACTTTCATTTACATTATGGAAATTAAAAATATTGTTCTACCAGTTTATATCAATAACCTCACCACAGTAGATTAACATAACATGGTAAAACTGACCAGATTCATAACTTGGGCTAGCAGGTGAGGAGACCTCACTATCACTTGTATATTGGACACTATGTGTGGGAGAACCTGTCTCTGATCCAGGAGGAGTAATCACACAGGATGTTGTTGCCTTCAATATTTCTTCAACATCTAAAACATACAAGGATAAAATTAGTGATCTAGTTAAAAAGGTGACTTAATCTACACAAAATAAATCTACCATACTCTTCCTGTAATTTATTTGATCTTTCTTCTTCAATGTGACCGTGAGGTGGACATGCCACAGGATGTTAATAATGATTGTAAACAGATCATCTAAGATGAAATTAGATCAATATTTTTGCAAATCTTTATAACAATTCTATTATAACAACCTGAAGGGTAACTAGTTGATTTCTGAGATGCCATTTTCAGTGCCATGTTCTCCTGTTTTAATCTCTGGATAGTATTTTGAAGATATCGGATGTAGTCAATAGCCTTCTTCAGGATAGCAGACTTGTTCAACTGTAGGACAAATGTATTATGATAGTTTAATATACATGTATTATCAACATAAAAAGCTAGAAAATTATCATCTATACAAATAATAGTGTAAAAGCAAAACATGTATGTTTCCTCCTTTCCCCGCTCCCCCAAAAACCCTGTCGACTTGTAGATCTTTAAGTAAAACAGAAAGTAAATGAAACTAACAAATTAAAAGAACACATGTACAATAAATACAAAAACAAGATAAAAACAAAACATTTAGTAATTTACCTTTGCATCAGTACCAGCGACTAGGTCTTTAAGCTCAATAATTTTATCATTGATGCTCAGTCGGTATCGTTTCTCAATGGCATTATGAGAAGTTCTCTTCTCCCCTTTCTTTGGACCCTTCGTCACAGAGTTGATGCGGTTGATGGGCAGTTTGTCAAAGCTATCATTTTCCTGTACCATCTGTATAGGAATGCTGGTTGTGGCAAGGATGGTACCAGTGTTGGTCATAACTGTTTGAAGTGGGGTCATGGTTGTAGGAGGGGAAGAAGCCACCACAGTGGGCGACGCCTGCGATATGGTTACATAGTTAGGGGGTGGAGACACAGTCTGTTGGGGAACACTAGCAGGACTAACAGTGATTGGCTGGGAAACACTAACGGTATTTACAGTAGCATTGCTGGTAGTCTTTGGCTGTGCTTGAAGAAGCAACTACAATAAAATAAAATGGAACTATGTATAAGTAATAAGTTTTAAAACAAAGATCAAATACTAACATTACAATGGCTTTCAAAAAAGGTACACAAACACTTGCTATAACATAGTCCATCATAAAAACAATTTAAACTGAAAAATGAATTCTAACATTAATTTTCCATTCATGAATGTGTTATCATTAAATTTACTCCTTACAAAAGTAGAGGTTCTCAATTACAGTTCTTCTTATAACAAGACCCGATTCCAAAATCATGTACCTGCTGAAGCTGATGAAGATTGAATTGGTTGATGCCAACATTGGTGTTTTGAGAAGATACAGGTAACTGAGGAGTAGACGCTGGTGTTTGTGCTAATGTCTGAGCCACTCGTTGGACCTGAGGCTGTGCCACTACCTGTGGCTGTACCTGCACATGTTGTTGCTGTGCAGCAGTTGCTTGTGCAGCCTGCTGTAAAATCAATTTCAGCTGTTGCTGCAACAACTGAGCTTGCTGTTGTTTTTGTTGCTTCTGCTGAATCTGAAGTATTAATTGCTGTTTTTTCTGAGCAACCAATTGTGCTTGTCGAATCTTAAGAGCAGCCTGTTGCAATTGCACACTACTTGGGTGAGATATGTTAACAACTGGAGGTTTATTAACAGGCTGACTAGCGAGAATTCCTGTCTGCAATGTGCTTAAACTCACATTTGGTGCTTCAGTTAATGATGGGGACAAACTTGTATCGGCCGATATTGTTTGTGATACAATAGAAAGCTGTTCGTCCAAAGATAGTTCTTGTTTCACACTAAAGTTGTTTTCAAGAGCAGGTTCTTGTTTAATACTTGTGTCCATCAAAATAGGATTTGTTGAAGATTCCAGCAAATCTGTATCATTTAAACTTCCAGACAATGGGAATTGTGCATCAAAGGGGTCACCATCCACAGATCCATCAGGAAACATGTAATTCACCATATCTACAAGAGGGAATTTAGGAAACAAATGTTATCAGTTTTCCAAATCATTTTTAAAGTAATAAAAACAAATGTTGTGCATATCCTTCCATATTTTTCTCTTTAAATATTTTTATCTCACACACTAGCGTATATATCCAACATGACAAACCCAATAAAATTTAGCTTTCAAGAACTATGTCATCCTATGCTATAATAGTATTCTCTTGGACGTTAAAGTTTTGTGTTTATTACTTCATACATGTGCCATGTCATATTCAACAAGCAATGGGTTTCATAACTATCGTTGTGATATTGTTGCTGCTGTAATGAATATGAAAATTTCTTGATTGCTGTCACAAGCATGTGCAGCTAAAATTTCTACACATAACTAGTGTGCTGAAAACACAGAGTCCTTGTATGACTTGCGTTTTTCTTTTGAAAAAGTTAATATACTGACAGTTATCATTTAACAATCCATATATATAACACCAATTATGAAATACATTATCATTAATTGCTTTATACTATGCAGTAGAATCAAACGTCTTGGACTATGAAAGAAATGTAATTATTATACCGCTGCAAACAAAGAATCTCACTTACATCATTAGAATAATTAATATTATGTCCTAACGTATTACAACTACATGAATATACCCGAAGAAAATGCTAACAGGCACGAGACAAATGTGTGATGGCCTTAACACGAAGACCTCAAGGTCAGTATGCCAGCTCTATTACCCAAAGCATCGATACATATAATCAATGTTTAATCACTGGATACATTATACACGCTCCCGATTCCATTAATGAACTGTTTGTATGTCTAAACTCGAATTTTTCGATGCAAAACCTGAGACACCGGTTGCAACATGTAAACATGATTTCATGTAAAGTTCGTCTGCATAAAATCAAGTAAATGTCAGTCGTTAAATGAAATCAAAACAAGATATCAACTCCAAACAAAAGGGAAATTGTTCTCACCTTCAACATCATTCAATGAGACATTTTCTAAATCATTTGCCGATATGAAATCGGCTCCAGCATCGGAAAAAGTATCCGCTGGCAGTTGCCAGCTGAGATCGTCCGCCATCTTCGCAGCTCTGAAATAGTTTGCAGATAGCACCACGAGCCAACAGCCAATCAGATTTTTTATTCGGATGGGGTGATTTTTCGTCACTGGCCTGTTCTTAAGTTATGCAGGTGCCCCCGGAAGTTAAACATCTCAGGTTGTTGCTATTTTCGTTTTAACCGGAAGTTGCGCGTCGGCTTCAAATTTGAACAAATTAATGTCATTTACAGTCAGCAAAACATGACCTAGAAAGATCTCGATTGTCCAAGGATTTATGCACAATGTCTATATATAACTATGATTCATAGTCACGGCCATGTAATTTAGGAATGTTGTATAAAAACGACCAACCTGCTGCCACAACACACAAGTGACATTCGACAGTCATTGAAAGTGAACCTGCTACACAGACGACAGAAACACGATAAGATGTCTTTGACAGTAAAAGCAATACTGCAACGGGCAGAACCCGAGATACGACGGTTTGCCGTACCTGCTGATATATCCAGTAGTTTCGAGTACCTGAAGAAGAAGATATCTGACATCTTCCCCAGTCTACGTCAGGGGAAATTTTCTTTGTACTGGAAAGGTAACGCAGATACGAGTTCATTTGCTTATTGCATTAGTATACGTGTGCAATTTAGAAAGTGAGTTGGTTAATTTTGAATGCAGAATAAATTTAACAGGAATATATATATACATACAACTGTACAACACAAACACCGAAAAGTGTCACATATTAATCATATCAAAAATTTGAAAATCAAGTTGTCACCAAATAAATTATGAAACCAGATTGACTAGAACTAGATCATTTCTGTTCATCTCGTAAGATCGGCAACTTTTCACTATTGATAATGAAGGTCATATAGATACAAAACTGTATGTTTGATTAATTTCGTCAAAAATATATTTGACACGGAAGGAGAAAATAACTTGTTTTTAATTATTGCCTAGTTAGATTTTACAATACACATTGCTCAAATTTTAAGAAAAAAATCCTGACTTATAATAAATCAACTTCAAACTTTGCATTAATATTTCATGATCTATTTAAGAAGGTATCGATTGAGCTTTATTAAGATTTTCAGTATTTTTGTTGTCATTGCTGTTACCTATGTAATAAATAAAAGATATACAAATAATCACTTATCCAGATCTTATTGGCTGGAGTGAAAAATCGATATATGCCATTGTCAGCTGCAAAAAGCCACTTCTATTTTTAATATTATGATAAAGCAATCAGGTAGATGACAAAATGCAAGAAATTGTTTGACTTTAAATATAATATATGATTTATATTTTTCATGTAGATCAAGATGGAGACTTGATCACATTTAATTCTGATGAGGAGCTGCTGGAAGCCTTGGGATTTGTGGATGATGGCTTGCTGAGAATTTTTATCAAAGGTAAGTAAGATATATATTATTCATTGTGCATCAAGGTGTAATACTTGATACATGTGGTGCCACTAACAGGCCAGAAAAAAAAAGAGAAAAATTTCCTTGGTATGGAAATTAATAATAATAATAAAAAAAAACTAAAGATGTGAATGTATAAAGAAAAAAATAAACTTAGATAGTGTTTCATTGAAAACTGAAAGGTTGTTTTGCTAACTAGTTGAAACTATCGTTTTCAAGAATATGAGCTGCAAAATAATGCTTCTATATTATTATGAAAGTTGTAATCAATTCTTAAGATTATATTATGGACTATTTAAGAAAATTGTTTTGGTTCATAATCAGTTCTTTTTTTAATGATATGACTAACCTAGGTTTGTTTTGTGGGTAAATCATTTTTATGAATCATGCCATATAAGGAAGTACACTAATAAAAACAGAAAAAACCAAAGCAGTCATGAGATGATGAGTGGTATGGATGTGAAAGTAAGGAAATTGTATGAAAATATTTCTGTATATAAAATTTTCTTGAGTAAACTTCCTTAGTGTCATGATGTAAGTACTTGAATGGAAACTTCTGGAGTTCTAAAAAATAAGTAGATTGCACACATATGTGATATTACCATCTTTTTTTTTTCAAGTTGTTTTGTTTTGTGTTTTTGAAGATCATTTTAAATAAATATTTTGTCATATCCCTTACCAGAAACCAGTTGTGTAAAAGATGGTTTGATGTATTTATCATCTTAATTTTAATCTAATTATTCATTGTATTTCACTTACATAATCATTCAAGGTCCTTGATCCTTGGCATTCATGATATATACAAAAAGTGAAAAATAAGTCACAATTGTTCCTGTGACTGAAATCTGCTTGAGGCTGCAATCAAAGGAGTTCACAATCTTGAACTGTCTTCACATGAAATCCTATATGAATATGTCATCATAATATTTGAGTCATAGTTAATTAAATGAAGCTTTACAGTTCCAGGTATATCCTATAGAAAGTATAAAAGATATTACTTGTCAGTGTATTGGGAGGACAAAGAATGTTGATTCATAGTCACTTTCAGTGGGAGTCATACTATTGATCAATGTTCCATAAATAGACATTATACAAGGCAAGCTGTCAGTTAATGACTGTCTTTCCAAATACATTCTTTGAGCAGATGTTTAGTCATTGTAATTTTAATAACACAATAGAAGTCAGAAAATATTTTGCATGAATTTTTGTGTGTGATAATTAAAACCTAGAAACAGGTTGAAATCTTTTGTTGTCTTCAACCAGAATACCAGTGGTACATTTATTTTATGAAAATAAAAACTGAATAGATATTACATGAAAATTACTATGAAACTGGACCAGATTTTTTTTATTTCACACTTAAATATTATAGTATCCTATAACAATCTAGATTTATGATGCAGGTGATTTACATATAATTAAATCAGAAATATTGAAAATCATTCTGATTGGATAAAAAAAAAACTTTTGAAATATTCACATTACACTTATGTATTATTATGTATCAATATGATGCTAAAGTTAGAGAGAAAATAAACATAAAAGTGTTAAAATATCTGATACTTGGTGACAAGTGAAATATTTTTTCATTAATTAGAGTCTGACACTCAGCCTACTCCTGGGACCAATTCTGATGAGGGAACTGGAGAACGACACCCCAATATAATTTGCGATGGATGTGAAGGGGCAGTATTTGGTGCACGATTTAAGTGTGTTGTCTGCCCTGACTATGACCTGTGTGCTAGCTGTGAGAAGAAAGGAATTCACAGTGAACATGACATGATGACGATAACCACACCCATCACTGGTGGACAAGGAATATTTGGATCATTTTTTGGACCTCCTCCAAATCACCCAGGTCCTCAAGGTCCTCATGGTCCTCATGGGGTAAGTACTTTACCTTACACTCAAGTAATCAGTCAGGTGTAATATGTTTTAGTGTTTGTAATGTGCTGCCATAGGGTACACTCTCAATGAAAATGATAAGGAATGGGTCTTGGGGATCTCTCATAACCTTTTTTTCTGGAAAAGTGTATTAATAATTTTACCTGGTTGCACAAACAATTAAAATGCAAAACTGTCATTTCAGTTAACTTAATTATTACACAACATACCTTTAACTTAAAATTAATTATTTGCTGAACTTAGGTTCTTAAATAATTAAGATTGGTTGCCTGCAAGTACCTATCTATGTATTGAATTATTTACATTGAACTGTAAACATTGTATAACAAGCATTTTGTAAACAACTTGAATTAAAAAGTAAAGACAGAATAAATATTGACAACTTGACATAGAAATGCACACTAGCAAGAAATGTTAAGTTAATGATTAGGTGAAATTTCATAAAAAGGTAAAAATGATAAATTACATTGGTCACATTGGTTTCATTAGAAAAATATAGTACAATACATGAATTTAAATGGTATATGTAGATATAATCTTGTGATGTAAATACCTGACAACCAACGTAGTAACCAATTATTTTGTACAGTATTGATATATTGAGAATATATGATAGCAATATTGAATTTCTCAGGTTGCAAAAATTTGTTGCATCTTTCCAGAATATTGTACATGTAAATATGTTTGTATAAATTAAATGAAATACATCCTTCTTTTTTTTTAATTAGTTTGTGCCCCCTCCCCACTTCCGTCGCTGGATGCAGAGATTCATGAGGCGCTGGCACAACAGGAATGCTCCAGGATTTTGTGGAGAAGAAAATCAGCACCCTGAAGCAAAGGAGCAACATGAAGATCCCCAAGAGGAATCCACACCAGAAGAATACCTGAAGACTATTGGAGAATCTGTCCAGGCAATGCTTGACCCCTTTGGTATGTTTTGATTTGGTTTTTTTCCTAGTCATTTTCACAGGGTATATTAGAATGGAAATTAGTGTTATGTTCAAAAAAGTGTTAATTCATATATTATATAATAGATGAGTTGTGTCATGAAATTGATGTAAGCTTTTTATTGTGGACAGGAATAGATGTAGATGTGGATGTTGAGACCAATGGACGTAGAACACACTGTGGTGGAGGAAGACGTGGCAGATCTGCTGGGCGTGGCAACTGCAGGGGGCGTGGCCAGTGGGGAGGTAGCTGCCCCAGGATGGGATCCCGTGGTAATGGACCTTGTAATTTTGGTCAAGGCAAATGTTCAGCCAAGAAACAAGGCGAGGAGAAGAAAGGAGATCCTGAACCTCAAAAGAAGAGAGATGAAGAGCCAATGGAGAAGGAAACAGCTCCTAGCCCATTATCTAGACCCGAGACTCAACAACAAGACAGAACCATGAACATGGTAATTTCATTCATCATTTTAATGCTTACAATGGAAGTGTAAGGATTTTTTATGGTTTTAATTAGATGAAAACGAAATGTGCAAAAATCTTGTTGCATACAAAATGTCCTTGTGTAAAACTCTGTGTGAAACTAATAATGTGATGAGGTGTGATAGGAAATAATGGCTGATTGAAAAAGTGTTTAAAACTTTTTTTTTTTCAGGTAAAAATTTTGTTTATAACTTTGAATATAATTATTATTTTGTTATTGCCTTAAAGGAAACAGCTGAGAAACCAAAAGAATCAGATGATTGGACTGTCTTGTCAGGAGACAATGAATGTGACGGAATGGATCCATCACCTACTCCAGGGCCACAAGTCCCGGAGTCCTTGCCCCAGATGGCTCAGGGCTCTGCTCCTGGAGCTGAGCTGATTTACCCTCCATCTGGTAAGAATACAGTGTATTCAATGAGATCTGGAATTAGACCAACATGATATGATCAAAGTCATACTATAGTTAACAAATTTCATACAAAATAGATGTATGTTTGTACCTTTGTAGGGGCTTGATTATTTAAAGGCTATACAGCTAAAATTTATAGTTTTCATTTCACATATTTTGTATGAGTTAACTAGTACTGTTCATTGATTAAGAGTAACAGTAATATTTTTTATTCTAATATTGATTTAAGAAATTACATTATGATCCTTGTCTAACAGTGTTCATGCTTGTTTGGATAGATCCCAGGGTGATTGATTCCCTCTCTCAGATGCTGGCTATGGGTTTCCATAATGAGGGAGGCTGGCTTCAACAACTGCTGGTAGAGAAAGACGCTGACATTGGAAAAGTTCTCGATGAGATAAAGAGACGTCAAGTGACCAGGCAGAATGCAAATGGATTCATGGCTTAAAGCTGTTGTCTGCACGCATATTTTGGAAATGACTTCTAACCTTGCCCTTGGACAATGCCCTTTTAACTTTTACTTATCGTTATAACCATTGTGTGTAACCAGAGCTAGAATGAATTGAATTAAAGACTTGGTACTTAAGTATATTGTTACCGATATTTAAGATTTTGAAATTTTTACCCAGTTTCGCATTTTGTTTGTCTATTTGGATTTTTTCCCCAAAAAAATTAAGAACCAATGTTGTGTTGATCAACTTTTCATTTTCATGCATTATTTATTGTTTTGAATTATTGAAAAAGATACATTGTGGTAAATTGAAAAAGATACATTGTGGTAAACTACTAAACAATGGAGGTGATTATGGATACTGGATCTAACTTCCCAGTTAAGACAGTTTTAAAAAAATACCACATTTTTAGGCAGTTTTCAAAAAATACCTCATTTTTAGGCAGTTTTCAAAAAATACCACATTTGTAATGCTTAAATATCAGTATGCACTATATGTTGTAGCTGTTGTAACACTATATTTAAAGTGCTCATCACATACACTACTATGATATTGGTCCAAGTATAACATACCTGGAAATGTGTCATTCTGAGAAATCCAAACAAAGGAACACTCTACCTTCCTCTGATTCATATACCTATACTTTAGCAAGACGAGTTATACCAAGTTTGTGGTAGATCTTGCATCAGGTATATTTAAAATGACCAGAGTGACTCAATTCATGTTGTTATGCTTTAATGATAGTGGCTATGTTATTGATCTGGTTTTGTATGTTTGTGTGGTTTTAAGGCCAAATAAAAAAAATTGACATCTTATCAAAAATACCAATAAAATTATTCATGAAATTAAATATTTGATATTTCAGTTTCTGGAGAAAAGCATTCTACATACTTGGTATATATTTGCTTTGGAAGGAATATGAAGTTTAGCTCAAATGAAAATGTTTTGATTGAACCAATACCAGTATGATTTGTTGTTGTTTTGCTTTCATTTAGAATCTGACCAATATTAACATTTTAATTATCTTTATTTGATAAGATATTTATAATTGATTCAGTTTTATCTTTTTGATAACTTATATTCATTTTGTGTCCATGACAAGGATTTGGTAATTCACTGATTTTGGAGTCGGATGTTGTTTTAGCATTACATATGCAAAAAAGATACGAAAAGTTCAGAAAGACACTTCAACTTTGGTTGCAAAATAAGTTAGATACCAAACTAATGATTTTTGGAGGATGATTCAGGAGTGGTGTAAAGAAGCAGAAAGGTGTTACGATAAAGGGTATTGTGAAAGCTGAAAGATAATATTGTAAGGTCATCAGGGTACAGGTAGAAAGTCAGGAATGGAGTTTGAAAAATGATAGAAAGGAGAGAAGAGCGTTTATCACCAATGGACTTTCAACTGTTGTATTTTTGTGGATTATTGGGTTTATCTGTGGATTATTATCTGTAATAAACTTTTCAAAGTTAATGTTATGTTTTTGTTTTGTTTGAACTTGATTCTTCAGTAATATGACGAGTCATTGTGAGATTTGATTGTTATCATTATAATGGTGCATACTTTCCCATTAAAAAAAATGGATAAAAAAATGCTGCCCATTTTTAGACACAAGAGTACCAAGAGGCAGAACATTATATGCCTGTCCTATGCCAAAAGAAATATGGTTTGAAAAAAAGACAACACGAAAAAAAAAAAAAAAAAAAAATATTGAAATGCCTCTGAGAAAGCATAAGTTAGCATAAGTTTAAATCATCATAATCGTTTCAAGTTTGAAAGAAATTGGTTAAAAACTGAGGGAGAGAACTGCCGGTCAAAATACCATTGGGGAAAACAGTGCTTTATGCTTTCTTGAAAAAGCTTACCAAGAATAAAGAAATCAATCAAAATAGGGGACAGGATTCTCTGAACAAGTTTGCTGAAAATGACAGCATATAAATTAATGAATCAAAATACCATTAGAAAAAACACTTTGTTTTTATGAATAAGCTTAAAAAGAAGAGAAGAAATTGGTGGAAATGGAGGGGATGATTCTCTGAAAAATTTTGCTGATAATGTAGAGCACAATACCTCCTCCGCAATTGTTGAATCACAAAATGTTGTTCAGGAAACTTCAGTTACAGTGATTTAGCCTTTAAAGGTTTAAAACTGTGATCTAGCCTGTCAAGGTTAAAAACTGTGATTTAGCCTGTCAAGGTTAAAAACTGTGATTTAGCCTGTCAAGGTTAAAAAATATCATTTAAAACTGTAGAAGAAGGTCCCTGGACAAGATGGAAATACAGTGAAAAAACACTCCAAAAAAATTCATGTCACGGCAATAAAATCTAGCTGCGAAGTTCAAAATCTTGACAAGGTGAATATTTTGAAAATAGGGGCAGTAACTCTTGAATCAGTTGAATCAAATGCCATTCAGGAAAACACAAGTTCATGTAAAGGTGATTTAAAAATTTAAGTCTAACAAGTTTGAAATACACCAAGTAAAAATTAGAGAAGGAAATCTTGTTTTTCAAAAGCACAGATCATAATGAACAGATGAATAACAGCATTCAATAATTTCTGTTTCGAAAATTTTGACAAACATGTAAACAAGTATTTATGTGTTATACTTAATCAAGTTGCACCACAAAAACTTCAAATCACATTTTCATTTAACACATTTAACATTTAGATTCTGGAATCCTTATTCCTGAGATTCAAATGTCACATGTCTATCAATAAAAGAATGAAACTATAATATAGTGATTCTGCTGGGGTAAGAAATATGTTAACAATTAAGTGTACTGACATCACCCACAGAAGGTGTGTAGTGTACTGACATCACCCACAGAAGGTGTGTAGTGTACTGTGATACATTGTGTACTGACATCACCCACAGAAGGTGTGTAGTGTACTGACATCACCCACAGAAGGTGTGTAGTGTACTGACATCACCCACAGAAGGTGTGTAGTGTACTGACATCACCCACAGAAGGCGTGTAGTGTACTGTGATACCTTGTGTACTGACATCACCCACAGAAGGTGTGTAGTGTACTGTGATACATTGTGTACTGACATCACCCACAGAAGGTGTGTAGTGTACTGTGATACATTGTGTACTGACATCACCCACAGAAGGTGTGTAGTGTACTGATATCACCCACAGGAGGTGTGTAGTGTACTGACACCACCCACAGAAGGCGTGTTGTGTACTGTGATAAATTGTGTACTGACATCACACACAGGGGGTGTGTAGTGAACTGACATCACTCACAGGAGGTGTGTAGCATACTAACATCACCTACAGGAGGTGTGTAGTGTACTGACATCACCCACAGAAGGTGTGTACTGTACTGTGATACGTTATGTACTGACATCACCCACAGAAGGTCTGTAGTGTACTGACATCACCCACAGAAGGTATGTAGTGTACTGTGATACCTTTTGTACTGACATCACCCACAGAAGGTGTGTAGCGTACTGACATCACCCACAGGAGGTGTGTAGTGTACTGTGATACATTGTGTACTGACATCACCCAAAGAAGGTGTGTAGTGTACTGACATCACCCACAGAAGGCGTGTAGTGTACTGTGATACCTTTTGTACTGACATCACCCACAGAAGGTGTGTAGCGTACTGACATCACCCACAGGAGGTGTGTAGTGTACTGACATCACCCACAGGAGGTGTGTAGTGTACTGTGATACATTGTGTACTGACATCACACACAGGAGGTGTGTAGCGTACTGACATCACACACAGTAGGTGTTAGTGAACTGACATCACTCACAGGAGGTGTGTAGTGTAATGACATCACCCACAAGAGGTGTGTAGTGTGATTACATCACTCAGAGGAGGTGTGTAGTGTACTAACATCACCTAAAGGAGGTGTTTAGCGTACTGACATCACTCTCAGGAGGTGTGTAGTATACTGACATCACCTACAGGAGGTGTGTAGCATACTGACATCACCCACAGAAAGTGTGTAGTTTACTGTGATACAATGTGTACTGACATCACCCACAGGAGGTGTGTAGTGTATTGACATCACTCACAGGAGGTGTGTAGTGTACTGACATCACTCACAGGAGGTGTGTAGTGTACTGACATTTGCCACAAAAGGTGTGTAGTGTAATGACATCACCTACAGGAGATGTGAAGTGTACTAACAGCACTTACAGGTGTGTAGTGTACTGACATCACTCACTGGAGGTGTGTAGTGTACTGACATCACTCTCAGGAGGTGTGTAGTGTACTGACATCACCTACAGGAGGTGTGTAGCATACTGACATCACTCTCAGGAGGTGTGTAGTGTACTGACATCACCTACAGGAGGTGTGTAGCATACTGACATCACTCACAGGAGGTGTGTAGTGACATCACTCACAGGAGGTGTGTAGTGTACTGACATCACTCACAGGAGGTGTGTAGTGTACTGACATCACTCACAGGAAGTGTGTAGCATACTGACATCACTCACGGGAGGTGTGTAGTGTACTATAATTAGATGTGTAATGACATCACCCACAGTATGTGTATAGTGACTGACATCACTCACAGGAGGTGTGTAGTGTACTGACATCATTCACAGTAGGTATGTAGCCTTCTGACATCACCCAAAGGAAGTGTGAAGTGAACTGACATCACCCACAGGAGGTGTGTAGCGTACTGACATCACTCATAGGAAGTGTGTAGTGAACTGACATCACCCACTTCAGGTGTGTTGTGTAATTAGATGTTTACTGACATTTGCCACAGAAGGTGTGTAGTGTACTGTAATTAGATGTGTACTGACGTCACCAACAGGAGGTGTGTAGTGTATTGACATGACGCACAGGAGGTGTGTAGTGTACTGATATCACTCACAGGAGGTGTGTAGCGTACTGACATCACCAACAGGAGGTGTGTAGTGTACTGACATCACTCACAGAAGATGTGTAGTGTAATTAGATGAGCACTGACATTTTCCACAGGAGGTGTGCAGTGGTCTGTAATTAGATGTATATTGACATCAGCCACAGGTGTGTAGTGTACTGTAATTAGATGTGTACTGACGTCACCCACAGGAGGTGTGAAGTGTACTGTAATTAGATGTGTACTGACGTCACCCGCAGAAGTGAAGTATACTGTAATTAGATGGGTACTGACGCCACTCCAGGAGTAGTGTAGTATAGAATATGTAGATGTGTAATGGCTGTAACCACTGGAGGTGTACAGTATAATGTCATTTCCCACATGATCAAATTAGGTGTAGTGTATACCCTGGTGAGATGTTGACCATGTTAATCTTGATAAGGTAAGAATTAATATACACATTAAGTATCATATGACATTTTGGTCTGTTTAGATGTTTGGCTATGATTTTTTATTACCGGGACAGAAATGTTAAGACTGTTGGCTGAACTAAAATGTTTATGATATTTATTGGACATTAACAACAATTTTTAAAGGTTAAGTAAAATAAGTTATATATCAGTACAGAACATCCACTTGAAACCTGACGCCATGAAAATTTATGCTTTGCAAAGAATGTGAAAGCACAGTCAATATTTTCGTTGTAAAAGTAAATGGGCGCAAGCAACAAAACAACCAGATTTTTCAATCGTATTCCCATCCCATTTACGATTGTATTGAGCAAAGCGAGATGAGGGGGCTTCTGTCGAAAATAAATAAATATAAAGTCCCCAAGTGATAACACGGTCATTCACCAAAAAACATATAATTACAAAAAGTCACACAGCTTCTTTTTGTGTGAGTGTTTTATTTTTATTTTTTATTCTTTTTTTTAATTTTTTATCCAGCACCGTTCAGGCTAGTACGTTCTCAATAAGACATTTTGAGACAACCGTAATTTACAAAACCGGAAATAATTTATGGTTATCTCCCTTGCATATTTCCGGCTTAAAGATGAAAACAGAAACAGCAACGAAAATATATTACGATTAGGAATGGCCGCATCTTTTTTTCACACCTTTCATAAGTGCTCTCCGGATTACAAGGAACCGAAATCAAAACGACCCTCTACTTTGATTAGCTCTTTTTTTTTTTTTACCGCTGACACACTTTCCTGCCAGTAATCGATTTTCAGCGGTCTAGATAATGGGGGACGGATGCTGAAGGTCCAGAAATTCGATATTGTTATTGATTGTTAAACCAAAGTTGCATGAGAAATTATTTTTTCCATGATTACCAAAATGTCACAGACTGACTCGATGACACCACAAAGATGATGACGTTCTCGAAATATGTTTGGCGGTCAAATAATGGACGTGATAGTAATTGATGTTGCTTCATCATGAGAACCAGAAGACTGATGTCAGTTAACATGAAACGCTGTCGGAATGGAACACGAATCTCGTGGTGTTTACACAAGATGACAAGCATGTAATGCATTAGACAAGGCGGCATTATTGCATTGACACTATGTTCGTCACTATTGCAGTGTGCTCATTCCTGTTGGGGGTGGGTCTGACATTGCTCTCCCTATACCTGATCTATAAAAGCCAGCTGCGTTTGATGCCTCAGGCAAATATTCCACATGTTCCACAGTTTGCTCCCTACAAATTACCAAAGGTACACTGCTTGAATCATTACATGTACCCAAAACACAAATATATTTAAATGTATCTGAGTGAAAAAAAAATCTTTTTTATTTTCCACTTGAGTTGTTGTAAATGTCAAAATACAAATATTAATGAATACATCAGAAAGGATGAAAAAAGTATGCATTGTTTTCTTTTACTTAATTTATCAAACGTCCAATTTAATGTATCAAACATTCAATTTTTTCTAGTCACTTACAATGTAATGTATTTTAATGTACTGAAATGCTTAAACCTTATTAACCCATTCATTAGAAGCCACTTGATTACACAGTGATTGAAAAAATCTAGTTATAGCAGGTTATTGTATGAAAGATTTAGTTATGACATGTTATAATGTATAAAAGGTCTAGCTGTACTATGACAAGGTAATGTATCACTTGCTATTTATATCAGGTTAATGTATAAAAGGTATGTCTGTGATAACTTGATATATGAAATTTTTTGTGTCAGAGGTTCGTATAAAATGCCAGATTATGACAGGTTAATGTAAAAAAAAAAAAAAAAAAAAGTATGTGTATTACATATAAATGTATAAAAATCTGGTTATGACAGGATAATATATGGAAGATTTGGTTATGACAGGCTAATGTATAATAATGTTGTTATGACAGGTTAATGTACACAAGATCTGGTTATGACAGGTTAATATATAATAATGTGGTCATGACTGGTTAATGTATACTAGATCTGGTTATGACAGGTTAATGCACAAAAGATCTGGTAACGAGAGGTTAATGTATAAAAGATTTGCTATATCAAGTTAATGTCAAAGAAATGTGGTTATGACAGGTTAATGTACAAAAGGTATGTTAATGACAGGTTAATGTATAAAAGATCTAGATATGACAGGTTAATATGCAAAAATGTGGTTATGACCGGTTAATATATAATAATGTGGTTATGACAGGTTAATATATCATCATGTGGTTATGACAGGTTAATGTACACAAGGTCTGGTTATGACAGGTTAATTTATAATAATGTGGTCATGACTGGTTAATGTATACTGGATCTGATTATGACAGGTTAATATATAAAAGATCTGGTTATGACAGCTTAATGTTCAACAGATCTTGTTATCGTAAAAGAGATGGTTATGACAGTTTTATGTATAAAAGATAGGGTTATGATAACAGGTTGACAAGGTTTATTTTGTACATTTCTATGCTACCTGAAAATTTCAGGGTGAGCATATAGTTAGCCACTTTGTCTGTAGCATAACTTAGCCCACAGTGGAGTGAGGATCATAAAACTTGTTCCAAATTCAGGGCCCGCAACCATTTAACTACAGAATTACTGCCCTTTGTTAAACCTTTGATGTCCAGAGCATAACTTTTTTCATTTAGGTTAGGACACCAAAATTTGATGATGCAGTGCATTGAATTCAGGGCCTGCAACCCCTTAGTTACAGAGTTGGTCATCTTTTTTAAAATGTTATGTTCGTAGCATAGCTTTGACTTCATTTAAACTAGGGTAATGAAACTTGGTGGATACATTTGGTCACACTAATAGGATGTACACTATACAAAACTCAGTGCCAGGTACCGCATGATAACAGAATTATTTCCCTTTGTCAAAACTTTGTGTCCAATAAAATCCTTTCCAGGGAGTATTCATCAGTTTCACTGATACTCTTGTTTTTATGGAAGTTCAAAATGAAATTTTAACAATTTTTGTTACATTTAATCGCTTTCAAGGTTGAGTCCTGCTTCCACAAAATCACTTGTTTATGTGGGAAATGTCTGATCAAGACATGTTATTTTATCTTTTTCACAAAATCATTTGTATATATTTATCTTTCAGGAACTTTTGCAGTTGTTGAAAGACCCTGGTCAGCTTGGTAAAAAGGAAGATTGTATTTATCTGAACCTGCTTTTTCAGTTTTTGTTCAAAGAACTGAAAGACTCCAAACGAATCAGACAGTAAGTAAACCACACAATATTATAGAAAATGGAAGGTCAAAGGTTATCATAGTTTGGTAATTGTATACCTATGTTCTTCAATATTGTATAAAGTTTCCAAATAGTGTACACTATGTATGTCAGTATGTCAGTGATAGTAACCTTCACACTGGTCATTTATCTGATGAAGGTATCAACTGTAGTCATCAAAACGTCACACTCCGATTTCCTACTGGTTGTGTTTCAAGAACTTTTATTCTGTTGACATAACCAACATGAAGAAAATATTTTTAACAAACGAAAGAAAATACTACTGGTTGTGTTTCAAGAACTTTTATTCTGTTGACATAACCAACACAAAGAAAATATTTTTGACAAACAAAAGAAAATACTACTGGTTGTGTTTCAAGAACTTTTATTCTGTTGACAAAAACACAACACAACACAAAGAAATATTTTTGACAAACAAAAGAAAATACTACTGGTTGTGTTTCAAGAACTTTTATTCTGTTGACATAACCAACACAAAGAAATATTTTTGACAAACAAAAGAAAATACTACTGGTTGTGTTTCAAGAACTTTTATTCTGTTGACAAAACCAACACAAAGAAAATATTTTTGACAAACAAAAGAAAATACTACTGGTTGTGTTTCAAGAACTTTTATTCTGTTGACATAACCAACATGAAGAAAATATTTTGACAAACAAAAATAAACCAATATTGTGAAATATTAATAATTTTAATTCAACAATGGTGTGAAATTTTCATTATTTCAGTTCACCAACAGTGTAAAGTTTTCATTATTTTAATACAACAATAGTTTTCATTATTTTAATACAACAATAGTGTAAGTTTTCATTATTTTGATACAACAATAGTGTAAGTTTTCATTATTTTGATACAACAATAGTGTAAGTTTTCATTATTTTGATACAACAATATAAGTTTTCATTATTTTGATACAACAATAGTGTAAAGTTTTCATTATTTTGATACAACAATAGTGTAAAGTTTTCATTATTTTGATACAACAATAGTGTAAGTTTTCATTATTTTGATACAACAATAGTGTAAAGTTTTCATTATTTTGATACAACAATAGTGTAAAGTTTTCATTATTTTGATACAACAATAGTGTAAAGTTTTCATTATTTTGATACAACAACAGTGTGAAGTTTTCATTATTTTGATACAACAATAGTGACAACAATAGTGTAAAGTTTTCATTATTTTGATACAACAGTAGTGTAAAGTTTTCATTATTTTGATACAACAATAGTGTAAGTTTTCATTATTTTGATGCTGCAAAAGTTGAAACCTATACCTTAGTGACATAATTACTCTGTGATCCCAAATTAGATGGGCCGTAAAGAAGATGAATGTAGAGTTTGAGGAAATGTTGCAGACTACAACTGGCAAGTTGATTGATCAGATATCGGTATGTAACATCATCAACAGGAAGCTGAATTGGTCTCAATTTAGATGTTTCAAGAATAGATGTAGCTTATACAAATTGTAAATGTAAATGGTAGTCCTTGGTAAAAACATTGCTACCTTGGTTTCAAATATTCTATTCATACTTCACAGACATTGTTAATGGCAAGAGAAAAAGGTGATCTGATATCATATTCAATAACATTTTATCTAATTGCATGTGTTTTGAATTTAGCTTTAGGTTTCCTTGTCAATTCATGAAGCGAGTTTATTTGATATTTCACTTTATATGTCTGTTTTAAATTGGAAATTCTGGGTGACATTTTCTTCAGTATAATATAGTTCTGATCACTAAGTGTGTTTGTATGAATTTCTGTATCCTGTCATTCAATAGGTGAGGGACTTCAATATGGGCAGTTCCTTCCCTGTGCTTAAGTCTGTTGCTGTACAGAAAGCTCAGATAGAACAAGAAGATCAACTGGAGGTCAGTAAGATCGTCATTTTAAATTTCAGAGTTGCAAAAAGATGAAATCTATATTAACATTTCTATATTCCATATACTAATTCAATTGTTAATGCTTGAATGTAAATCATAACAACCTTAATTATCTAAACAAATCTTACTGCAGCTGCAAATATTTTTGATATGTTAATCGTGAACAATAATAAGTTATGCAAGCATGTTGAAATATCAAGAACAGAGTCTTCTGTTTGAATCTTTATTTTGTTCTTACATAATTCTGTACCAGACTTATAGACTTGTACCTGAATTAATGGTAACAGTATTTATTCAACTGTATATCTCTTACCCAGGTATTAGATCTGGCCATGGACATAGATTACAGTGGAGGGTTCCAGCTAGCGGTAGATATTGACCTTGTGTTTGGAAAGTGGGCTTATCTGTGTGTGACCATTACTAGTCTTAAAGGTATAGGCAGACTTCAGTTGTCACGTCAGCCCTATACTCACTGGTCCTTCTCATTTTACGAGGTAAAGATTGTGTTGGTACGGTGATAAGATCTGTCTATTTCTAAGTAAAGAAAATGGCAGCCATTAATATATGTTCAGAATGATGGAAGTCTTAACACCATAAAGTTTGCATTTACTTGTTTCTAGTACAATTATCTTTGAAAAAAGACCCTCTGTTCATTCTTAAAACATTAAAAAAAGGCCCCTGTCGCTGCATAACATTTAAACATTTACACAAGTTACTATTTACATTGGTTATGTACATATATATATTTTCTAGTCTTGTTTATTTGAAGTTTGAATATAGTGTTAAATTAGCATGTTTGAGCTTCAGAATCTATGAATTGAAATTTGTCTTTGAAAGGAGCCACAGATTGCCTTCAGCATAGATTCAAGGTATGGTGGAAAAGCTCTTCCTCAAATCACCTCACTTGTCATCACTCAGGTCAGTATAGACAAGTTATTTGGAGAATTAACTTCAGATCTCTTCTGTCGTCATTCAGGTTTACTGGTTTTTAGAAAAAAGAGTGAAAAATATCATTATGCTTAGACAAAAAAAGGAGAAAATCCTATTTAACAGCTCAAAGTTTCTTCACCCAGTTTATGATATAGTCACAGACAAAATATCAAATGTTGCCCATTCTTCTCGCATGATAAATTTAGAAATATTCTGAGACATGAAATATTGTGGATTCCTGTACTTACCACCCGAAAAACGAGGGTTTAGGCTTATAACTGTTATCAATGACTCCTGTCAGTTGGATTGTTGTAAGGTCCAGTATCTTATGTGTACACTTAGGACGTGTACATTTACGAAAAATTGATTCAGAATTTATCATAACTCTCAGTAAGTTATGTGAATATTTATGTTATATTTGCAGATAAAAAGGTCATTAAGAAAGAAACATATATTACCTAATTATAAGATGAGATTTCGACCCTTTTTCGACCGCCCAGAAGAATTTAAAGTTGCCAGGGAATTGAGAATCCATGGTAACAGAATAGGTGAAGGTCAGCTACAGGTGACCATTGTAGAGTGTAGCCGACTGTCCATCACAGAGGTGCCTGCTAATTGTCAGCTGTACTGTACACTGTCTATAGGTATGATACTCATAATCACAGTCATGTATCAAAATGTTTGTGTTTGCCATCCTTTGGGTCTTTGCACTAGTTTTAAATTATTGTAAAAATCATGTTTGTAATTGTCAAAAGCATGGGATGCTCATAAATGTATAATTTATCTTGGACGATCTCAATATCAAGATAAGTGCTAAATAACTTTTTAGTCAAGCTGAAAAAGACAAGACACCTTGACCACCTCATTGTGTAAATAATATGTTGATAAAGTTGTTTACTGATCTCTGATTCCAAGCTGTCACAATTTGACACCACTGTCCAAAAAATCCTAACATATGTCCATGATTTACAACCACTAAATTTGAAAAGAAATTCTTATCTGTTTCTAGCTCAGTTTCTTGAAGGAAAATCAAACCATGTGATATCTAAAAGATGCTCGGCCAGAAACATTCTTTAGAGCTTATTTCATTGAATAACCTTGACTCATTTAAAGGTCACAGGGGCTTATTAAAATCTTTCTACAATTTCTTATTAACAAAAGAAAAGTTATAATATTTGGCCCTTACCATACTGGGATGAATTTAAAAAATGATTGATTAATGAAATTGACCTGCTTTTAATGTCTTATCGGTGAACTGAGTCATAGTTTACAAGGATACTTCTTGAATGATCAAAGATCAAGCTTAGACTGAATGAAAAGTTTTTGAGTTTGACAAACACATGAATGACATTTAAAGTCACAGCATTAAAATACGAAAAGGTAGCCCAACAAAGTCTAAGATTTTAGAAGTGATGATAGTAACAAGTGAATAAGCCAAATTTTTTAAAACCAAAAATAGGACTTGTGTGAAGGCAAGTGCTTTTGTACGTAAGACAAATAAGGGATAATTTGATAGGTAAGTTAATTACAACGAGACTTGTCTGATGTACAGGAAACGAAACAAACAAGAAGATGCTCAAACATTAGGCTGTGATTAAACAGAAAGTTAGTAAAAGTAAGTGAATGAGATGAAAAGAATTTTGAGAGAATACTTTTTGGACTTTATATCGTTGGTCTGACATGTCAACTGAACATTCTGAGATCAATTTCTTGGCTCCCGGAGATCAATTTTGACAGAAGTTTTGAGTGGAAGTAGAAGTTTTTTTTTACCATTTTCAGCCCCAAAAAGTAACTCATTACACGGGTTTTTACAGTATCACTGTAGTAGATTGATAACAAAGGATGTAAGATGGCTTTCTGTTTTTTAGATAACATGGAGTGGACGGAATTAGTAGACTTAAAGAAGAAAGTATGGGATGTTCTAGACATTGAGATTGTCACAATGCCTGCAGCATCAATAGGACTAAATATGAAGGAGGTAATGAAACTCAATAGGAATATTCTAAATGTACAATTCTTCAAAATTTCTTGTGTATGAATTCAACTTTTCATATCCAATCTTACTTACTCTGATGTGAACTTTTTTTCTCATACTGTTATTTTACCTGAAGTGTTTAGTCAGCATTAAGATAAAGGATTTCTGAAGTCATTTCATCATTACCTTAATCAACACCTGTTATATGAAAGAAATGGGGTAAATATATAAACAAAGCTCTGTGTGGGAATAAATCCAGTAAGATTGGTGTTATCCACCATGTAAAGATATTTTGGTGATGTCTGATGGATTCATGTTGTTGTTATGTTTGTTCTGCTGTGGAAGAAATTGAATAATAATGCAAATATTTTATTGAAATTTGTACATGTTCCCTTTTTAAATAACAGTTGTAGCTATAGAAACATTAAAAGTCCCAGTAAAAGTTCTACTGCAGTAAGATTACATGATGATGAGACTATGTTGACAGGACTTCCTGCTGGAGAAGTATGAGGATGTAGTGGTAATAGACAGTGTTGTGCCAAAGTCACCAGCAGCCATGACAGATATCAGAAAGGTATGGAAACAGGAAAGGTTACAAAGTGACATTCTTACAATTAATCTTTCATTTAACAACTGGACATATAACAGGGGTAAGATCTGATTAATTGTCTTAGTGTTATCTAAAGAAAGGAATTCTGATAGAAGATGTACAAATCTCAGTACATGTATTTACAGTTTGAGTGTATGAATGAATGAAACTTTTAAAAACTTAGTCCCAGCTTTAGCATTACAATTATGTTGTTAAATTCTTGGTTGGTTGTGGGATGATTTTATCTATTGACTGTTTTGTAGAGAGATATACTAGTCAGTGTGGGATGTCTCTATTGACTGTTTTGTAGAGAGATATACTAGTCAGTGTGGGATGTCTCTATTGACTGTTTTGTAGGGAGATATACTAGTCAGTGTGGGATGTCTCTATTGACTGTTTTGTAGAGAGATATACTAGTCAGTGTGGGATGTCTCTATTGACTGTTTTGTAGAGAGATATACTAGTCAGTGTGGGATGTCTCTATAGACTGTTTTGTAGGGAGATATACTAGTCAGTGTGGGATGTCTCTATTGACTGTTTTGTAGAGAGATATACTAGTCAGTGTGGGATGATTTTCTCTATAGACTGTTTTGTAGGGAGATATACTAGTCAGTGTGGGATGTCTCTATTGACTGTTTTGTAGAGAGATATACTAGTCAGTGTGGGATGTCTCTATTGACTGTTTTGTAGAGAGATATACTAGTCAGTGTGGGATGTCTCTATTGACTGTTTTGTAGAGAGATATACTAGTCAGTGTGGGATGATTTTCTCTATAGACTGTTTTGTAGGGAGATATACTAGTAAGTGTGGGATGATTTTATCTATTGACTGTTTTGTAGAGAGATATACTAGTCAGTGTGGGATGATTTTCTCTATAGACTGTTTTGTAGGGAGATATACTAGTCAGTGTGGGATGTCTCTATTGACTGTTTTGTAGGGAGATATACTAGTCAGTGTGGGATGATTTTCTCTATTGACTGTTTTGTAGTGAGATATACTAGTCAGTGTGGGATGATTTTCTCTATAGACTGTTTTGTAGTGAGATATACTAGTCAGTGTGGGATGATTTTCTCTATTGACTGTTTTGTAGGGAGATATACTAGTCAGTGTGGGATGTCTCTATTGACTGTTTTGTAGAGAGATATACTAGTCAGTGTGGGATGATTTTCTCTATAGACTGTTTTGTAGTGAGATATACTAGTCAGTGTGGGATGATTTTCTCTATTGACTGTTTTGTAGTGAGATATACTAGTCAGTGTGGGATGATTTTCTCTATTGACTGTTTTGTAGAGAGATATACTAGTCAGTGTGGGATGTCTCTATTGACTGTTTTGTAGAGAGATATACTAGTCAGTGTGGGATGATTTTCTCTATTGACTGTTTTGTAGGGAGATATACTAGTCAGTGTGGGATGATTTTCTCTATAGACTGTTTTGTAGAGAGATATACTAGTCAGTGTGGGATGATTTTATCAATTGACTGTTTTGTAGGGAGATATTCTAGTCAGTGTGGGATGATTTTCTCTATAGACTGTTTTGTAGAGAGATATACTAGTCAGTGTGGGATGATTTTCTCTATTGACTGTTTTGTAGAGAGATATACTAGTCAGTGTGGGATGATTTTCTCTATAGACTGTTTTGTAGGGAGATATACTAGTCAGTGTGGGATGATTTTCTCTATTGACTGTTTTGTAGTGAGATATACTAGTCAGTGTGGGATGATTTTCTCTATTGACTGTTTTGTAGGGAGATATACTAGTCAGTGTGGGATGATTTTCTCTATAGACTGTTTTGTAGTGAGATATACTAGTCAGTGTGGGATGATTTTCTCTATAGACTGTTTTGTAGGGAGATATACTAGTCAGTGTGGGATGATTTTCTCTATTGACTGTTTTGTAGGGAGATATACTAGTCAGTGTGGGATGATTTTCTCTATTGACTGTTTTGTAGTGAGATATACTAGTCAGTGTGGGATGATTTTCTCTATTGACTGTTTTGTAGGGAGATATACTAGTCAGTGTGGGATGATTTTCTCTATTGACTGTTTTGTAGGGAGATATACTAGTCAGTGTGGGATGATTTTCTCTATTGACTGTTTTGTAGAGGAGATATACTAGTCAGTGTGGGATGATTTTCTCTATTGACTGTTTTGTAGAGAGATATACTAGTCAGTGTGGGATGATTTTCTCTATTGACTGTTTTGTAGGGAGATATACTAGTCTCTATAGACTGTTTTGTAGAGAGATGTACTAGTCAGTGTGGGATGTCTCTATTGACTGTTTTGTAGAGAGATGTACTAGTCAGTGTGGGATGATTTTCTCTATAGACTGTTTTGTAGAGAGATATACTAGTCAGTATGGGATGTCTCTATTGACTGTTTTGTAGGGAGATATACTAGTCAGTGTGGGATGATTTTCTCTATAGACTGTTTTGTAGGGAGATATACTAGTCAGTGTGGGATGATTTTCTCTATAGACTGTTTTGTAGGGAGATATACTAGTCAGTGTGGGATGATTTTCTCTATAGACTGTTTTGTAGAGAGATATACTAGTCAGTGGAATGATTTTCTCTATAGACTGTTTTGTAGGGAGATATACTAGTCAGTGTGGGATGATTTTCTCTATAGACTGTTTTGTAGAGAGATATACTAGTCAGTGTGGGATGTCTCTATTGACTGTTTTGTAGAGAGATGTACTAGTCAGTGTGGGATGTCTCTATTGACTGTTTTGTAGAGAGATATACTAGTCAGTGTGGGATGTCTCTATTGACTGTTTTGTAGTGAGATATTCTAGTCAGTGTGGGATGATTTTCTCTATTGACTGTTTTGTAGGGAGATATACTAGTCAGTGTGGGAACTTCAAGAGTTACATCATCCAAGCAGGCCAAAAAGCTGTTTAAAAATGCTGGAGACAGGTATGGTATTGAATGAAGGATCCAATTTGTTCAGCTTAGAAATCTCAGATTCATCTTATCAATCCATGCCCCATAGTTTAATTGGTACAAACTTCAGTGAATGAATATTTATAATTAGTGTTTAGAAATTGTTTTGATTATTTATGATATTAATAAGTTCCTTTCATCCAGGCTGTAAATTCCCTGGAAACATCTTAGTTAGGGAACAATCTAAAGATTATTAGCTAAGCAGTCTTGAATTCTACCTCATTACAAACAAAATACAGCACCTGTATCAGGTTGAATGACCCAATTCTGAAAATCTTTTATTTGTACATATGTTCTATTGTTACATGGACTGTATGCCATACTTTTGTATTTTTATGTTACTATAGATTTACTGTCCGCATAGAGAGACCCAAGTCTAAAAGCCAGCAATCCCAGGACATGCCACAAACAGAGGAGAGCTTTCTATCATTGGTATTTATCTGTCAGTGTATCAAAAGGAACAGTGGCGTTACCAAGCTGCTGACCTCAAATTTGGAATCTGATTTTGTCATTTGTACAGGTGGTAGACACTGCTGGTGGACTTGAAGTCTGCGAGGTTTGCTATATGTGTTAAGTGCTCTTACACATTAGAATTGGAATCCTTATAATGAATCGAATATTAAATAGTGTGATATCTGAAAAATAATGATCTTTGATGGAGTACATTATATACTACCATGTACAGAAAGCTAAAATAGATTATTGTTTGAAATAAAGTCGAAAGTTTCCAGGAGGAAAATTTTGAAAAAGCTTAGTTCTTATTAATTTGGAGATAAATAAAATACTCCCTCTTGCTGGGTCTCCACCCTACAGAAGTTCAAAATTAGACCTTACAAATTTGTGATCAGCAGAAGATAGATTTGTTATTGTTTCTGAAAATTTAGTCATCTGGATGCCATTTTAATTTGAAAACATTTCTAAAGTAACAAACAACTTAAAACACATTGTGGAAGTATCTAATCCTCTATATGGTGGTTGGTTTCTAAAGTGACATCTTTATAAAGTAAGTTTTTCAGTTGACCAATATCTGTAGTAACAAGTTTGCATCACAATTTCATTTGTGAACAATCCCTGATTGTCTTCCCTTGTTTTAGGATGTAGACAGTGACTTAGGTGGACAAGAAAAGTCATGTGATCAGAAGGAGGACTTTGTGCACATCAGTTTCAAAATGTCAGATTATGAGGACAAAAAAGTACAACCAGGGGTCAAGGATGTTACAGAAAAACAAGGTCAGATAGGGTTCAAGGACACTACAGAGAAAATGTCGCAGAAACAAGGGGTCATGTCTTTTGTTAATACAGGGAAAGCATTGTTACAGAGGAAGGTGAAAGGTCAAACAGATGGTGGCAAAGGTAGCGTTTCTTTATCTTCTTCAGCAGTGGACACAACTGCAAAAGCCATGAAGGGTTTCACTCAAACTCAGTCTGCATCCTCCTCCCCACGGAAAGAGGTCAACCTGAAGTCTGTACGACAGCGGGCCCACAGCGACACTGCTCTTATAACGGTAAGTATCAAAGACATTGTGCAATTCCTGCACTGTTGCTCACATACATGTTTGAACTATTTTAAAGATGATAACTTGTAATGATAGAATATTGATATATATTTCTTGATGATGTTCAAATATCACGTACTATTTTTCATAATTTTACAGTTAGTACATTGAAATTATCTGTCTAAATATTTCATTACGACAAGTTATAGATAAAGGTCACAGATGATGAAGAGTATGGTTGGATCAATAACATACACAATTACTGATGGTTGTTATGTCTGTTGACAAGGTTCAGGATGACCTTGATGAAGATGGAGGTAGTGATGGAGAGGATGTCCAGGACCAGGATGACCAGTCATGTGACCAGCACAAGACAGAGGAGATCTCCTCTAGGCAGGTATGCTGTGATTAAGTTATATGGTACATTTTGTGTCAGGGTGTGTATATAGCATCTTCATTATAAGTTTTTAGGAGTTAAATGTCTCTGAACTAACGTAACCTATATAGATTATGTTTCATAGTTTCTTGATCGAGACAATTAAGTAGAAGGTAGTATCACTGTATAATGTTTAACTACCTGTTTGAAATATTCAAATATGTTTTACCTTTCAGAACCCCAAATGGGATGAGAAGTTTATGTTACATGTGGATAAGGATGCTTGCTACCTCAACGTGTGTGTCTGGTGTAAAATTCCTCCCAAGCTTGACAAACACGTCAGAGTTATTAAACCAGGCAAGGAGATTTTACTGGGACATGTAAGTGGATGAGTAATTTTAAAATATTAGAAAGGTAATGTTATTTACCCTGGTGTTTATAAAAACAGGTGGAAAATGTGCCATGTTTTGATCTGTGGTTTCAGCACAGTAGGTCTGTGTATATATATATGGACGGATTTTACCATTATCAGTGTATTGACATGCATTTGCACACGATTGGGAAAATATGTGTTGTCAACTTGTGTTCTCTTTGAAATTTTACACAAATGTGATTTTGAAGGAAAATTAGCAGAATTTTACAATATATGTACCTTAATAGAGATTTTAAAATGTAAACTAGACAAGGAGTGAGAAATGGATTTTTATTTATATTTAAACATTTATAAAATTCTATGTTTATTGTGGTTGTATTTATGTTATAGGTGAGTCTGTCTGTACCTGATATATGTCTGGACTGTTTGATGACCACACAGGGAGATACACAGCATACCATTCCCCTGGTACACACAGACCCCAGGGCTGGGGCAAGGTTTGTATACTGCTACTCACAACAGTTTTTTATGAGTACAGTGATCGAAATCATTTCTATCCAGTCAATACTTAATACTGGATAATACAGTTTAATTGATTTTGAATGAATTTGTTTTTTCAATTAAGATTTAAATTTATTAAAACTTGATTTCCAGAAATGGTTTAAAGAAAGTGACTATGATATTATTTTTTCAGTCGTGCTAAATTTTCTAATCTGGCAAGTCACAAAGGTTTTGAGCCATCCCTCTGTAATGGGGACATAACTCTTGCGTTTTGGCACAAACCTGTCAAGATGAGTGATGAGGACCGGAAAAAGATGACCAAAATGAAGCGGGAGGTCCATACAGAATCTCCACCTCCAGATCTACCACCGGTCAACACTAAAGAGAGTGATATAAACTGTATCAAAAAGTAGGTATAAATTGGAGAACTGAGTAATAACAATAATGTTAGCATCCTCTAGGAACTCAGTCGTTCATGACTAGCTTCAATATGTAGGAAAGTGAGTCGGTGACAGACAAATGGACGCTGTGATATCCCTAAAGCTCACTTAAGTTTTTAGGCCAGGTGAGCTAATGAAATGAAACAATTTTCGATAAAACGAAATATCATTTCGATAAAATGAAATTATATTTTGAAAAAATGAATTAATATTTTGTAAAAATAAAACAAAATGTAATTTAGAAGAAAAAAAATTGGTAAAAAACACCAATATTTCATAAAAATGAATAAAATCGGTATGCAATATGTCAGTTGTTTGGCTGTGTAAGAAACGGAGAATATTATACTGTGTTGGATTTCATTGTACTATAATTCCACATAAGTGTGTTGATATTGTTTTATTGCACATATTATATCATGTATTATGTTTTATTTATGAGTTTTCTTGAAATGTTATTGAAGTGTATGTTAGTTGGACATATGAATACAGATTTTCTCATGTCTGGCGGTGTTGAAAAAAAGTTCAAGAAAAGGAGTTTTGGTACTTAAATGGCACTTCTGTGACAAGATTGCATTTTACCAAATATTGTGGTGGACACATACAGTCAAATTCAGCAGAAACTTGCTTGAAATGATCTTGAGATGGTCCTGACCAATTGTTGTTTCCTATTTGGTTCGAAATTCAATATGGCCTCCATAACCATCATCTTGAAAAACACATTTCAGAATAAATTTCTTCTTCAGTTTCACTGAGCTGAAATTTTGTTGGAATGTTGAGAAAGTGAAATGAAGAAGTCTGTTTTTTTTTCTTTTTTTTTTTAAATTTTTGCCTTTGCTGCTTGTATAATGTGAACTCTCTCTCACTCATTTACTTATTGTTCCCACTACTACAGCTGTCGCTATTTTGTCATTGTTTAGGGTATATGTTTTATAGTCAGATGACTGTTAAGGCCCTTTGGCCTCTTGTTTTTTTTTGCCAATAGGATTGAAGAGGGTAGACATGATTTTACTGGGACCAATTTTAATACTGCAACTTATTGTGATTTTTGTGGAAGGAAGGTAAGACTAGACCGTACAATAACAGTATGTTATTGACGTTTGTCAAGCAAAATCATTTCATTCTATCATTTATCAAGTAAAACTTTGCAATACCGCTATCAAATATAGTAAAACCTATTACACTCACCATTAATTGAGTAAAACATTGTTACACTGTCACAATTTAAAACCTTGTTATAGTGACTTCCAGCCCAAATTAGAATAATTCCGCTCTTGGGAAAGCATCATGAAGTTACATGTTTTCACAGTTTTTTTACCTTCAGATGTTGTTTAGAGTTGTTTGTAGACCAGGATCTGAAATGTTTGAATATATTGTTGATGTATGATTAGAATATTGAACTTTTTTACAGATTTGGTTGAAAGAAGCATTCCAGTGTTACACCTGTTCAATGATATGTCATAAGAAATGTACAGAGAAATGTCAGGCACAGACTCTGTGTACTTTGTAAGTCATTCAATGTGTAGAAATTATTGTGTAGTTTGTAGTTCAGTATTTAACTAGCATTAGATATTATCCTGAATTCTTGCCATGCTCAGTGAGCTTGTACACTTTTTATGTCATTCATTAATTAACAATCTTGTTGGCTTTATACTTCACTTCATTTGTAAAAATTACAGACAGGTGTTTTGTAACTCTTGTATTCAGTGTTATACAAGCTTATATCTTTAATGTAATTTTAACGTCAAATTTTCTGGTACTTTTTTTTAAAACATCCAGTGTTTTGTAGCTAATACAGTTTCTTTGGCAACCAGAACAGTACACTTCATAAGTCAATCAGTAATGAATGATCCAGCATGTTTTGTGAGTTTCTGAATGTTCAGTGAGCTGACACATTTTTAGTCATTATTCAGTTAGGTGTACTTGTGTACTCAAAATTTGATTAAGCAAACTCACTGGTTTAATTTCAATTATGAAATTAAATTGTCAAGTACTGTGGCTTGTCTATATGTGAGACCTTGTTCAGATTGTTAGGTTCTTAAAGGAAGAAAGAATGACAGTTAAAGGGAAATATATAGGAAATTGTTTAATACTTTTATGTTGATTTTGAATGATAAAGTTGTCATTCGAAGTACATGTTCCTATTTAATATACTGACATGAACTGACTACTGTTTCAAATAATTTTGCTCTAAAGGCAAGGACCAAAAGTACGTGAGCATCCCACACAATCGTGGAAAGCTCCCATCACTCGGACCGAGGCGGAGCGCAAGAAGACCAAAGAAGGAGCTGCTCAGAAGACTGGAGGATTGTTGAGTAAATTCCGCAAGGACAGCAGTCTGGAGAGAAAGCAGGGTAAGTGTTACAAGAGAGAGCTGTACCATTCTGACTAAAGTTCACTATGAGGTTAAAGGTTAAGTTCACAGAAAACATTGTCATTTCTAATCAGACTCATAAGACTGTTTTCAACACTTTTCTTTTCTAAATATTAATACTAATATTAATTGGTTGGGCAGAGATAACTGTTGATAGTTAGACAGAAGCTGTTAATGGTTGTTTGAGCAGAGATAACTATCAATAATTAGACAGAAGATAACTATTGATAGACAGATGCTGGTAATGGTTGGTTATGCATAAGGTGACTGTTTTCTTACAATAGCACTGAATATGTCAGTAAGTAATTTGAATGAATTCTCAATATTTTAAATGTTACAATATAAATCTGGATGTCTGAAATTGATAAATAAAGGTGTTATTTGGCGAGGATATTTTTAGGTCATCTGACCCAAAGGGGTCTTTGGGTCAGATGACCTATAGCCATCGTGCTTCGTCCGTCGTCGTCCGCCGTGCGCCGTGCACCGTCCACCGTGCGTAAACTTTTCATTCAAACAACTTCTTCTCAAATACTAGAAGGTCTAGGGGGCTAATACTTGGCACAGAGCATACTGGCATGGAGCTCTACCAAGTTTGTTCAAATGAATGACCTTGACCCTCTTTAAAGGTCACAGGGGTCAAATATCTTGTATCTAATGTCAGATGACGGTTAAGGCCCATGGGCCTCTTGTTATTGTAAGATAGCTTCGTTCATTATAAAATAGACAAATAAATCAATATTAATTGCATTTAAAAGTGTATTTACAGCTTTGCTACCCCAAATGTAAACAGGAGGATGTAAAATTATGTATCATGAATAACTGATCTATTGGTTACTGGAGGTAATATCACTGATGACTGCCTATATAACATGTGTATAAATGTGGAGAGTACGAGGAATGTGGAGGCTTAGGAATTCAATTTTGTAATAAAGGAAAAATAACTATACATACAAAAAGAAGTGATGTTTGAAATATTCCTGCCATCTTTATGGCAATATTTTTCCAAATAAGATGTTTGATTTGTATAGGTTTTCATACTCCAGTAACAAATGAGTATTGTTTTCACAGACAAAATGTCCATTTAGACTGTAACGAACAAGGTCCTGATATATAATACAGTGAGTTGTATATAAACTGACATTGCTCTTACTGGTTTAACACTGACTATAAATAACCAGTGTGGGTCATCATAGCATTATCAACTTAATTGATGAATCATTACATTTAGGGTAGCACTGCAGTAAGTTCCTTGTGACAATTCATCAATTTTTTATTTAATAAACATATTTATGTAATTTTTTCCTGGTTTTAGACACAAGCCAGTGTGATTCTGTGGTAATTATGTTCAACTATTTTGCAGTTGCTGCTGTGCAGAAATCTCCCTCCCCCGAACGACTTGCTGTTCCCCAATCCTCCCCCAACCTGTCCCCACAGTTAAGTCCTCAGTTTTTGCGGCGACGAAACTCTGCCCCGGCCCCAGACAAAGATGGAGGGGCAGAGGTGGAGAAACAGACCTCCTCAGAGTCCTGGCTTACAGATGGCTTACCTTCCCTTCCTCACACCCGATCCACCACATCTATACAGTCTCTCACAAGCAGCCTGTCGAACTCCGACATGATCTTCAAGGTACACGTGTGCTTACTGATGCTATGTGTTCACTTGAGCGCTAGATTCTTCACCTGTGATAAAATGATTTTGAGATGACCCCCTTACAAAACTACATCTAGGTCACCAGCACTCGACAAGAGTGGTTGGTATAATCTGATATGTTGTTATATAAGTAAAGTTTGGTATACCAAAAAACCAAGATAAAATCCTTGTAGAATGAACAATGGATGCTGGAAAAAAAGGAGAATATGCTTCTAAAAAAGGACATGAAAATATTAAAAAGAATCTGAAGTCTTTTTATCCAAACCAAAACCTTCATTCTTTAAGGGATATTACTTTCTCTCCACAGCAACTACCAAAGTACTAAATGTAAACGTTGAATTACGATTTTAGAGGCTGTGAAAAGTTGTGAATTTTATACCCAGATATATATACTAACATTGTATCAATTGTAAAGATTATTAGAACTATTGTCTGATATGTTCTATAAGATCCAACTTCGATACCCCAATATATGTACTGACATTGTATCCCATTGTAAAGGTTATTACAACTGTCACCAGATATGTTCTGTAAGAAGAATTTACAGCACTTAATTGCCTGTTTGTGTCTTTTCTCATCAAGACAAACATGCCCATCCCTTTTGACACCTCACAAACCATGGCACTACCACTGTTGTGCATTACCTTTTTTTTTCTCAATCTGGTATTCACATTTCTTAAAAGTGTATAATTTGTATGATTTGATGAATAAATGGTCTGTGACTGCTGTTAATGGTGCCTCTTAAGTTTCAGACTAACATTGTTACTATAATTATCATACTTACCTGAATGTACAAGCATGACATTAGAGTTTCTGTTGATATTTTGGTAGATCACAATTAATGCATCAATTTTTTTTTTTTGTTTTTTGACAGATGTGTGTTTTTCACAAATTTTGATTTTGATTATTTTGTGAAGTTCACAAAAATGATTTGTGGGATAATGGTGTAATCTTGCACTGATTCACTGGTCTGGGTTTGGATCTGAGAGAGCATGCATAATGGACATGAGTGTCTATATATCCTTCATTAAATATATACACAATTAACACATACCACAAAATAGTTGCCATCACACACTAAACCAAACCACTGTCATGGTACTATATATATTATGGTAATTTTAATTACTTTTTATTCATTGTACAGTAATATTTTAACATGCACACTGCATGCTACTCATTCTCACACCAAGATGTGTGTTACTCACTTGATCTTCCCCTAAATGTAGTTGATCAAAAAACATGAAATTAGGAATCCAGTAATATATGTCTAAAACAAAGTCAAGGGGACATAACTCATAACCTTTTTATCATTAAAACATATCAATAACAAAGTCAAAGGGACATAACTCATAAGCTCTTTACAGTAAGAAATCTTTTTACATACTCAAACTCAAGGTAGATCACTCATAATTTCTTTACAGTAACCAAGTTTATAACAAATGGAAAGGAGAGTGATATTGTCAATTGTGTACTGATAGTAAACATGTTTATAATGATCGGAATGGGATGTCAGTATTTAGTTACCATTTTCTTCTACTAAATTTGTGTTTCATGTATATGAATGATTTGGCATTGAATGATGTTTAGAGTTTTTTCATAAATATAATCATAATATTAATATCTATTTTCACTACCTAAATCTCTGAATTTGATAAAAGACTTCAAAGTGGAGTGTATATTTTGACCTGTATATTTTGAGATAAAGACTTTGGAAAGTGTAAAGGGTATATTCTAAAGGGTTTAAATTATAGGATATGCTCTGAAGTTTCTATAAACCTTAGAAAAAAGACTTTAAAAAATGAAATATATTTTATGCAGTTTCTGTAAATTGTGATAAAAAGATATCTTATATAAGAAGGTTAAGGGGTCATTCGCCGGTTAGTGAGTAGTTAGATTTTATTGTCGACTAGTTTTACTAGTTTTGACCTCCGGTCAAGGCTTCATCAGGACAATTTAGAAAAAAAAGACATCTTTTGCTTATGGGTCGTTAGACTGGTCTTGTGGTTACACATCACAGCACTGTCCACATAAAGCTATAATCAACAATAGCTATCTGTCATTGATCTGCACGAAAATGAGTTCAGTATATATACCTGTACCAAAGGTTTGATTTCAGAATCTAGATAGACAAATGATGATGACAAGTTAAATAGACAAATGATGATGACAGGTTAATGACACTGTCTTTTCATTATTGTGTTTCATATCAGCATAATGTATTAATGATATATTACAAGACACTGTTCATATAGCTAAATGATAACAAAAGGAGATGATCTGAAGATTTTTTCAATATTTTTACTATCAAGGACACAAGTAAAGTCAGTATGGTATCTCAACATCATACATAACTTTTACTGTAACAGCTGTCCCAAAAATATTCTCACAAATGTGGATTGAACAGTATTGCCAAAGACCTAGTTTAAAAATAACTTCCTTATAATGTTAAGTACTTTTTTATGTGACAGGAAAAGGAATTATTTGATAGCTCGGATGAATCTGATGGTGAAATGGCTGCAGAACTACAAGACCGTATGGCCAAAATGAAAAAGGTCAAAGGTCATAACAACCTAGATGAAATGGTTGTTATGGCTGCGAAGGAAATGGGAAAGGAACTATTTGCTGAACTCTCATTGGAGGAAAGGAAAGAAAAACTTGACAACATGGTAATTTCAAGCCTGTTACCATAGTGATAAAGAGCTGCTTCTAAAGTAGAAATCTGTCTATAACATTGTCTGTGAAATATGTACAATGTGAATGGAAAAAGTTCACTGGTACATGCTTATATATTCATTATATAACCAATTAAATAATAAGTTGTTACTAACATTATGATTACAATATACAATCTACACAAGGTACAGTATACTAACATCTGTGTGGCCTGGAGGTGGAAGTTTGGAGATTGTTCCACACCTGTTTGTTGCATGTTCACAAGCACAGATATTTTATATTGTAGTTAGTTACATATTGTAGTGTGGGTTTGGTTTTCTCATTTTTACACATTTTAACATTCTTTCTTTAATTACTAGTTCCTGAAACATTTTATTTAATTACTAGATCCTGAAAATCCATTTTGTGTACATTGTCTAAATGATCCCAATAATATTTATGAAATGAATATGAGTGGTAAGGTCAGATTTCTTTTCAAATCCTTTCAGTATGGAAAAGCATTTTAGAACATGTTTTCATTCCCAGCAAAATGGATTTGTGAGGTATATTACGTTGTGCTAAACCTGTCTTTCTATTTGATAAATATTTTTCAGCCTACAATTTAAAAATTATTTATCTGATCTCTACAAAACTTTGTACACATGTCAGGCTAGCTTGTACCCATGCTGTGGTGTTTGCTTTGTGCAAAATTTCAATTTTGATATTAGTTTTGGTTACCATGGACTCAGCAGTTTCTAATACCAAATGCTCCGTCACAAGCTTTTCCTTGCTTCAACTTGAAAACCATTCAACTGATCCCTTTAATCCTGCATACGTACATATACTAGGCTGATTAACTAATTATAGCTCATGAGAAACAATATACCATAGCTTATTAATTAAGTTTGTTCAAAGACAATACAACTGTACTCAAAGTCATCAACAGAGAAAAACACAGGATCTACATCAAGATATGAACCTCTGTTATAAGACCAATATGAATGTTTGTTTGGATTTTCTTGCCAGCAGCTTGGGCTGAGGGACCATACAATGCTTTGGCAGTTACTTGCATTTGAATATGATTTTAGTATAGATATTATCAGCTAGTGGGTATTTTAGTGTTTGGTATATCTGTGACTTGATGCAGGTATACTTCCAGAGTATCGATCATGGGAGATGAGACTGTTGCTTCAGTTTTTAGCTCACCTGGTCCGAGTGGCCAAGACAGCTATAGGGATACCGTGGTGTCTGTTGTTCAATGTCTGGCGTCCATCGTCTGTCAACTTTTACTTTATATTGCAACTATTCATGAAAGACTGAGTGGATTTTATTCAAGTTTTGTCCAAAGCATCCTTCGGGAAAGGTGAAACAATTTTATGCTTGGGTGAAGGTAAATCAGTTTTGTATAAATGGTGTGTCTTGGCCCTTTGAGGCTAAAGGGGTAAGGTTGAAAAGGGAAAAACTACCAATTCTTTAAAATCTCTCTTTTTCTTCCAGAATTGCCGGATATTGTCCAAATTTGGTGTGAAGCATGCTCTGCTGAAGGGAAATTAGTTTAATATATAGCACGGGTCTTGGCCCCTTGGGGCCAGAGGGGCGGGGCCCAATAGGGAAAAATCCATGAATTTCTTTAAATTCTAACTTGTTCCTCAGGAATTGCAGGATATTGTCCATATATGCTCTGAAGCATGTTTTGGTGAAAGGAAAAAAGTTTTGTAAAAAATGGTGGATGGGGCCCAACAGGGAAAACCTAACCCCCCAAGCAAATTTAGCTAATTTTCTCATCGTTGCTTTGCACCATCAACAATTTATTTGGATCTTTGGTTCTTTGAAACAATTGTGATCCCCATTGAAAAACTATAGCATTGTTGAACATCAGGAGATAAACACAACCATAACTGATAATTTGTCCTGAAGTCTTGTCCAACCCCAAGATAGATTATAGCTTTGAAGCCATTGAGATCACATCCCATAACTTAATAGCATTGCTGGCCATCATTAACAAATGATCGCTGTCCCCACCCCTAGGGAATTTGAAGCTGTATCTGGGGGTTGAGGCTCATCATAGGAAACATATTCCTTCTAAAGGAAATGTAATGTTTTGCATTATTGACTTAAATATCCAGATGAACGATACATGCCCTCTGGGCCTCTTGTTTCATGAATGAAAGAAATTTTTAAAACGCTAAACATCAGATCTGATGCGTTGGTACCTGATATTTGTATCTGACACCTATATTCTTACTTCTGTAGTTTGCTTCAGTGACAGGAATTTCAGGAATTTACTGATGGTACTTGTTTTCTGTTGACAGATGTGTTAATCTCTGTTGACAGATATGTTAATCTCTGTTGACAGATGTGTTAATCTCTATTGACAGATGTGTTAATCTCTGTTGACAGATGTGTTAATCTCTGTTTGCCTTGGCATTTTAATGCAAAAGTAAAAATTTCTTTCAACAGGTTATGAAATTACAGAAGGAGATTGACAAAGAGTCTGAGAATAAAACAGAATTACTGAGGTTAGATCAGGAAGTGTCAGATCCAGCCCATAGAGATAGCATACACAAGCGTATCGCTAAGTCGGATGAGAAAGTAGAGGCCATGATGATGATGATGCTGCATTACTGTGCAGGCCTACAGTACTGTTTAGACCAGGAAGGGGAGGACAGACAGAAGGCAAAGCCTGAGTCGACAATGGAACCCATCATGGATGAGTTTGTCGTTACTGACATCCAGAAGGGAGACTCAGCCTCTTCAGAGTCTGAAAAGGAGGCTTCATTGACGGACGGTGTACAAAAAGCAAGCAGTGTTCAGCCTGTTTTTGACTTGAAAGTTTCTGATGAATGTTTGCCAGAGTATCGCGAAATGGACCTCTGCATGGGCACAGAACACTCGCCAGCTATACGAATCAAGGGGGCAGAATTTGGGGCTCATTTTAAGAATTCTGATAAGACAGTAATGTTTACCTTGGATACTGATGATGAAGACTTTGGTGCAGAGAGTGGTGTCGTGACAACAATTACTTCAGCCTCTGATGGCTCCGTTGAAATGGATGATGATGAAGGAGAGGATGGCATGGATGTGACATCATCAGGACAGTTTCCAATGTTTGACATAGTAGATGATGATTTAGAAGTATCAACTGCAAAAGATAAGATAGTTTAATATACTCTATTTATTAATTAGTTCCATAAAACCTCAAGTATTGTATTCAAAGGCAGGCTGGGAATTTGTTTTATTTTTATGATAAATTTACAGTCCGCATCTACACAGTACCAACAAATGTTGAACTGATTCAAAATGATGAATTTGTAAATCATACCATTTTCATGACTCAAATCCTCATTTCGGCAAGTTATGTTTTGGAACTTCAATCCCTACAGAATTACTTGATTTCTCCTCAGGGTGTAAAAGGGCTGATCTCTGCTGCCATAATGTTGTGGTGTTTATTTTTCTAGATTAAATTATTTTATAGGGGTTTTATGCCTCGCTGGAAAACTCATAGTAAAATCTTGCTCACACAGTTTAATTCATTGTGTGAAAACTTTACAACTGTTTTCTTGAAATCTGAAAGGTTTACACCTCCATTTCTTATTTAATTCTTTATCATGATAGTTATTCCCGTTTTGTTTTCAATGATTCATTTGTTGGAAGTCCCGTCTTGATTTATGCACAATTTTAAGTCGGGATTGATTTTTGAATTCTTTCTTAAATGTGATGTCATTTTTTTTATAGGAGCAGTAGGTATGTAGTATCTAGTGGAGTACACTTCGATTTTTTTTTTCTGTCTCAAAAGATGTAGCATTCATAAGTATAAAGGTAGTGATGACAATAATTTTCTATATTATCCATGAATATAAGTTGTAATATACTTTCAAAAGAGGTTACTTTAACTTTCATTTTTCTATGAACTCGTTTTAGTTAAAAGTTTCGTAGAATTCAGGTATACTGTTCAAAAGTCCACAATTTTCACAGAATTAAGAGATATTGAAAAAAATACCAACAAAAAAATTCCCCCATCATGTTTTTGATTTCGAGAGGCATAACACATGCTTTTTGTAGGTACTTTACTGTAGTGAGACTTGCAATGGGATTAAAGATATTCCATACTCCAGAGGTTACGATCACTTCTGCTTTCTGCACACCTGGAACATGTCCTGGCAAAATTGAAGGTTCTATTCATGACACCTTGAGGAAAAGGTGAAAAGACTAGTTTTCTTGCGGTCACTTAACAGAATGTTGTAGTGGCTGTGAAGTTGGGTGCCATTCCTTTGTAATCTTCGAAAGGAGCTTACCAGCATGTGATTGTTTTTTTCTCTCCTAGAACCAATCAAATGACATGTTCCAGGGCGCAGCAAATGAAAGTGATCAAAACCCCTGGAGTATTGAGGACAAATTTCTCTATTTACATGGTAACATTTTCAGTCAGTTTACCTACAAATTTACCTGCAATTTTACCACATATTTACCTATATATTCCTGGTATACATCACTTTATTTAAATTAACCGTTGTTGCACTAAATTTTACAAACTAAGGAGCCCCACATTTCATTAGCTGTCTCATTAGTAGAGTAGGTTCTGTAGTGGTAGAATCAGAACTAGATTAGCATCTCTGTCATTCCAAAGATTTCTGGACATAAACCAGGAAAGAGTTCAATACGCCAGTGTATTGTAATTATTCAATCTTAACGAAATTTGACAGGAAAAAAAGTCAAATGGATACATACATGTCCACTGTAAAAAACAAACTGTAGAGGGCATCATTTATCAGTAGGAATATTCATTTTATTTTGATAGTGATAAATATTATATATATTTTAACATTTGTAATAAAGTGTCAGTTGTATGAAAGATTCAGAGATGGGAATGATTGTACACAATGGAGGCATTGTTTTTATTGTTATATTTTTGTTTTAATGTTATTTCTTGTAATAATTTTTGTTTTGGAAACACTAGCTTTCTCTAATAATGCCACTTAATTGACACCCTCTCTCATCCCCTCTAAGTAGCTCTCACCATAAATATATCCTCACCTTACACACACAAGTGGATGTCTTAGTTACACTCTAGCAGGTAGGTTTCGTATAACATGAATTTTCTATAGGGACTTACTTTCTAAACATCAATGTAGGCCTTATTTATGTGATAACAGAAGATTATGTAGGGTCTATTTTAAAAGTAGTCAAATTGTTTCAAAAAAAATAATCTCCACAAGTATTTCATATCTGTATCACTGTTAAGTAATGGTTAGTGACAATTTGACCCGAGCATAAATTTGCAATGTCAGGAAGTTGTCAATTGAATATAATCATAATTTCATTGTGAGCTAGAATTTGTTGAACAGAATATTATTCTATTTGTGTATGTGTAAGACTTCAGGTATCATATATACTCTATTATCCGGTGATAAGCCCTGATGGTCAACTTATTTTCCCTTGCTCAAAATGATGGGGTGGGCTTATGGCAACAATGCTAGGAGACCAGCTTATTACCCCAGTATCGTAGTGAGGGAGTATGCTTATTACATGCCAATAAGCCAATTTCATCAGCTTAATACACATGACTTGGAGCGAGGGAGTTGACAAAAGGACAATAGGTTTACTTACTACCCCTGATTTAAATTCAGAAAGTTGGCTTATTGCTGGACAATAAGCACAGAAGGTCAACTTATTACTTGTATTTGGAGTGAGGGAGTTGGATTATTACAGGATTTCAAGCCAAGGCAATCAGCTACTTACTTGTGACTCAGAGTGAAGAAATTGGCTTATAACAGGACATTAATAAGGCATTCATTATCAATTCATCAAAACAGCCAAAAAATAAGGATGGGCTTGCTACCAGACATGGGCTTATTGTTGGGTTTATAGCAATTCAGAAACTCTGTTCAATTTCAAAACAAGCTTTCTGTATAGTTTTGTGTTGGGTCAAACTACTATATAAAGTGTGTATGTGTCTACATTGTTTATGACTAATTTTGAAATCAATGTGACAGCAGAATTAGACCTAATGATCCGTCAGTAAAAAGATGATATTTTGTGTATGTTTGACTGTTACAACACCAAAAGCATGATTTTATGAGGATTTTTTTCTGGCAATATAATATGGAGAGGATATATCAATGTATCTATAGGAACAAAGACAATCACAGAAGTGACATTAATACATGTTCTGACCCAAGAAGATACATCTAAAATGGTTACAGAATTTTATACCATATATTTGTTCAGTAAATGTAGAGCCATTCCAGATGACAATACTTGAATGACATCATACTGTGATTTTGTAAAGATTAATATTCCCTGTAAGACTTCTATGGTGGCACTGAATAGAACTTGGTGTAGTGAAGTTCCTGAGACTTTCTATGGTGACCACTGTCTCTTCCTAAAGCTTTCTATGGTGACCCCTCCATCCTCCATAAGACTATATATGGTGACCCCTCTATCCCCCATGAAACTATATATTTGGTGACCCCTCTATCCCTCATGTGACTATATTTGGTGACCCCTCTATCCCTCATGTGACTATATATGGTGACCCCTCTGTCCCCATGAGACTATATATGGTGACCCCTCCATCCCCCATGACACTATATATGGTGACCCCTATATCCCCCATGAGACTATATATGGTGACCCCTCTATCCCCCACGAGACTATATATGGTGACCCCTATATCCCCCATGAGACTATATATGGTGACCCCTATATCCCCCATGAGACAATATATGTTGTCCCCTCTATCCCCCCATGAGACTATATATGGTGTCCCCTCCATCCCCCATGAGACTATATATGGTGTCCCCTCCATCCCCCATGAGACTATATATGGTGTCCCCTCCCCTCTATCCCCCATGAGACTATATATGGTGTCCCCTCCATCCCCCATGAGACTATATATGGTGTCCCCTCCATCCCCCATGAGACTTTCTACGTTGGCTCCCCCTCCTTCCTTAATGGGACTCTATTTTGACCCCCACCTCCCCAAATGAGACTTTCTATGGTAAACTCTAATGAGACTGTTTATGGTGACACTTATGACTCCTGATATGGTATGTGATGCCTTATGACACTTGCTATCATGATAACCCCATGAAGATTTCTATGGTGACCTGCCCTGAGGCTTTCCAAAAACTCAACTTTGTTTTTGTTTTTTTTTTATTAAAAGCAATTTTCCTCATTTGTTTCATTATGACTAAATATAGGACAGCTATCTGGTCACTAGTGTGATTACCTCATACACCTGTCTGGGTATTATATACTTCCATTACTTATCTGTGATGTCCTCATAACAATTCATTTTTTCTTTGCAATTTCAACATGGACAAATGATAAAACTTTTTAGCAGAACTATTATGGATTTCTCATTTGATGATCAAAGGTCTGCTTTAAATTTAACTTTGGGGCATTTACATATGCTAGGAATGTGTGTGTGGACCATGTTTGTCTACTGTGAGGCCCCTGTTTTACAAATGATCTTAAAGAAATTTGGTTTCTTTCCATAACAAAGCAATATTTGAGTTCGGGATAACGTCCTAAGAAAGGAAACTTTCCTTCAGTTCAGTTAAATTTGCTTTGTCAGGGAATTCTTCAGTTAGGTGAATATTTCTGTAATTAACTGTAAAGGATTGTTAGTAAAACTAGGACTAGATGTACTTATATACATGTTCTACAGTTTCCTGTGATACATTCCAAATCCATGACCATTAGCTTCGACATTTGATTCAGCTTTGTGCTGTATGCTATTATGTTTAAAGTTGGCATCAGTAGTAGTGGGCCATACTCTATCAGCTGGAAATGTTATTGTTTATGCTTAAGCTAATTGTTGCAACTTTAATGTAAATATTTGCTTTGTGTTATGCAGCATGTTAAGTTAACATCAGTTGTCCTTAGCTATATGTTGATGGCTTGTAAGTTTAAAATGAAGTTGTGATATAGCCATATAATAATGACTTGTAAATTTAGCAATAACTTTACTGTAACTTTAGGAAACTTGTTTATAAGTTAAGCAACAGCTGTGCTGTAGGAGGATGGCTTGTGAGGTTTAGTGTCATGGCATGTTTAAATTTCTTTTTTTAAATTCAGTAAAATGCGAGAAGATTCTAACATTATATTGGAGAAAATGTGGAGACCTACATTTGAAAATTGTCATCTAGAAGATAGATTAT